CAGACCAGACTTTAGTTTTAAACCGTCAATGGATTCGAGTATACACTAAAGCATACAAGCTAAAACGACTAACACAAATGATTGAAATATACGGGTTCTGACTCGAATCATAATGCAATGAAGGTGTCTTGCACAAACAAACCATATTGATCTTATCTGAAATGTTGTCAAGGTACGAACAAGGAGAGATGGAACGCCATATTTATGTCCTCAAAGGGCTTACATGTGCAACTAGTTCTAGTCATCTAGTTTTATTCTTAAGAGTTTGTTATGAACGTCATCTAGTTTTATTCTTAAGTGTTTGTTATGAAAATCATTTAGTTTAATTCTTAAGTGTTTGTTATGGAAACCATCTGGTTTTATTAGTAATTCTTTGTTATGAACGTCATCTAGTTTTATTAGTAATTGTTTGTTATGAACGTCATCTAGCTTTATTCTTAAGAGTTTGTTATAAAAATCATCTAGTTTTATTCTTAAGTGTTTGTTATAAAAATCATCTAGTTTTATTAGTAATTCTTTGTTATGAACGTCATCTAGTTTTATTCTTAAGTGTTTGTTATGAAAATCATCTAGTTTTATTCTTAAGTGTTTGTTATAAAAATCATCTGGTTTTATTAGTAATTCTTTGTTATGAACGTCATCTAGTTTTATTCTTAAGAGTTTGTTATGAAAATCATTGAGTTTTATTAGTAATTGTTTGTTATGAACGTCATCTAGCTTTATTCTTAAGAGTTTGTTATAAAAATCATCTAGTTTTATTCTTAAGAGTTTGTTATAAAAATCATCTAGTTTTATTCTTAAGAGTTTGTTATGAAAGTCATCTAGTTTTATTCTTAAGAGTTTGTTATGAACGTCATCTAGTTTTATTCTTAAGTGTTTGTTATGAAAATCATCTAGTTTAATTCTTAAGAGTTTGTTATGAAAGTCATCTAGTTTTATTCTTAAGTGTTTGTTATGAAAATCATCTAGTTTTATTCTTAAGTGTTTGTTATGAAAATCATCTAGTTTTATTCTTAAGTGTTTGTTATGAAAGTCATCTAGTTTTATTCTTAAGTGTTTGTTATGAAAGTCATCTAGTTTTATTCTTAAGAATTTGTTATGTAAATCATCTAGTTTTATTCTTAAGTGTTTGTTATGAAAATCATCTAGTTTTATTCTTAAGAATTTGTTATGAAAATCATCTAGTTTTATTCTTAAGTGTTTGTTAGAATTTGTTAAGTGTTTGTTATGAAAATCATCTAGTTTTATTCTTAAGTGTTTGTTATGTAAATCATCTAGTTTAATTCTTAAGTGTTTGTTATGAAAATCATCTAGTTTTATTCTTAAGAATTTGTTATGAAAATCATCTAGTTTTATTCTTAAGAATTTGTTATGTAAATCATCTAGTTTTATTCTTAAGTGTTTGTTATGAACGTCATTTAGTTTAATTCTTAAGTGTTTGTTATGGAAACCATCTAGTTTTATTCTTAAGTGTTTGTTATGAACGTCATCTAGTTTTATTCTTAAGTGTTTGTTATGTAAATCATCTAGTTTTATTCTTAAGTGTTTGTTATGAACGTCATCTAGTTTTATTCTTAAGTGTTTGTTATGAAAATCATCTAGTTTTATTCTTAAGAGGTTGTTATGAACGTCATCTAGTTTTATTCTTAAGTGTTTGTTATGAAAATCATTGAGTTTTATTAGTAATTGTTTGTTATGAACGTCACCTAGTTTTATTCTTAAGAATTTGTTATGTCAATCATCTGGTTTTATTCTTAAGTGTTTGTTATGAAAGTCACCTAGTTTTATTCTTAGAGTTTGTTATCACAGCTTCTGTAAGCATATCATAATACATGTATAGTTAAGGCATGTAGCAAAATTGTATCTTCAAGGCATTTTTCAGTAAACAGAATATAACAGTAAACAAGGCGAAATGTATTTGATGACTTCTACATATAGATTTCTTAAAACAGTGTGTATTATTTTTTGTATTCTTTTTACAATTCTTGATTTAGAATCATATTCTTTGATTGTAGAAAAGGCACATAAGTGAATAGCAAGTTTTCATACAAATTTGAATAAGACACAGTAGAACCAAACAGTGAATTAAACATAATCATAGTTGTACATTGTAGTTGTTCTTCTGGGACCCGTCAGTGAAACAATGCGTTCGTCCATTTGTGTGGACAATATTGAATTATATGGCCGTAGAAAACATGAACATATAATGAAATACATGTGGAGTTCTTACGTATGCTTTAATCCAGACGGAAACCACTACTACATGATTGCTATTTAGTGTTGCCATAAAATTCTGAAGATACATTAAAACCGTACTGTGTGCTTATTGCATTCACACTTTGTGAAACACTTAAGTTTTCATTGTAGAAAGGATTTTTTTCACTTCAGATGTAGGTCAAAGGTCGCGATCAAGGTCACATGGTCAAATATTTTGGTACCACCAGAAAGGTCGTGTCACAGGGGTCACACATATCAAAGATGAAAGTCATATCTCTTATGATGCAAACGTTATGGCCAATGTTAAAAACATCAAATGTAGGTCATAGGTCACGATTAAGGTCACGATTAAGATCACATGGTATAAAAGTTTGATACCACCGAAAACGTCTTGTCACACGGAATACACGTCAGATATGAAAGACCTACCTCTTACGATGCAATATTTATGGGCAAGGTTAGCGTTGAAAACAAACAACCAGAGAGCACAAAATCACTATGCCCTCGATCATTCGATCCGGGACATAACAAGTTCACCCCACCCCTCTTCCCCCTTCTAATGAAATAAGTTATATACAATTATTTTGTATTAATTATGAATTATATATATTTATTTCCAATATTTTCATACTGAACACATCATGAACGTCGACATGTACCACAACCAATCTATTTTACAGTGTGCAACACCGCAAGGAAGATGGCTACAGGTTCATTCCGTACATTTCTCTGTACAGAGATTTGTAAGCAATTAACATCAGGTAAGTGCATATATAAATCAGGATATAATTGGTTGATAGTATTGTGTACATTCATTAGTTTCGTAAAGTTATTATTCGGGGTAATTATAAAATTGGTTGGACAAATCTTTAAGCGATAAAAATAATATGAGAAAACAGACGCACACCCTCCCTTACACACAGGCAGACACAGAGATTGGGAATGGATCACAAACGCATGTATTGCGAAAGGGAACTGTTGGGGAGTTCTAATGTCTCTTCCAACATGTATCCCTTACATGAAATGCATTCAGTCCTGCAATTCTATGTACCGTTGTTATAGTAAGAGAAGTGTTTTTCAGACATTTAGTTGAAAACAAAAATAACTAATCGAGAATGGAGTGTTAGATGTTAAAGAACCATTCTTTGTTATGACACATGTATACAACTAAATTTAAACAAGTGCCATGCCCAATCAAGATCAGAACCATGCTTCGCTACGTACAATTCCATAGTTCATTTGAGGTAAATATTTGTATTGGAAAAATACTAGTAGCTAAACCTTTATAGAATAGAAACTCTTAAAACCATAAAGTCCATAAGAAATATGTGTGATGTTGTGATGACTAATATGTCACTGTCACCAGAAGACCTCTTGGTCATAATATATTCCTGTAGTACACGTGGGTAAAAGATAGTGTGGCGAAAGGATTTTAACGGAAACAGGTCGAATCGGTGATATTGCTTATCTCAAGAAAATCAATTAAATTATGCTTTGTTTAAAACCTGGTCGATTTAAGTGTTTTATTCTTCGGATAGGTTTAATTACTGTGGCAATACCATGATCTCTAATAATTTCTGTAACGTAGGAAATGACTAAATGTCCTCGCATTTTATTCATTTCCTTGATGGTTAATCTCTTATTTTTTCCCCAAGTTGCTTGTTCACATTCTGAATTGCCCTCTCCAGATGTCCGCGTGTTTTTATAGTACCACGGATGTGGTTCATTTCTTTTTAGATGTCCTATTGTTCTGCGACTGCTGTATCACATCTGTTGACCAAGTCTGTATAAAATGTTTAATTTCTACTGTAACGGTGGTGGGATTATAAGTTTAGATATCGGTGTGTATGTTTCCCCAGAAACCAATTCTTTGACGGTTTCGTTGTCTGTCTCATCGCTAGTGTTATGCGAAGCTAACGTCTGCGACTCATTCTGACTATCTTTAATGTTAAAAACATATCGTGACCACATGCCATGTATTTATACTTTATAGCTTTGATAAACATTAGTATGTTTTATATTATTCTTTCAATTTTAGATGACATCCAAAAAATGGTATTTTGCATTAAAGATGACGTTAATAGCCAGGCTTTAGAAAAAATCTCCACAGGGGTGGAGCTAATGGATATGTTATTCAAAGAGACCCCGTTTACCGAAACTGAAACATCGCCTCTGGAGGGCATGCTTAATGCTGCCGAAAGAAAGGACCTTGAACAAAAAGTCAAAGACTACAAGTCGCGCTTGCCAGTTTTGCCATCATGTAAATATTACTTGTATTTTATAAAGAAACAAATCTTTCATGTTGTCTTTTATGATAATAATATATATGAAATATAAAAATGTCGATTTCATAAGATTGTAAATTACATTTTTCCTAGTGAATATACATTAGGTATATATTTTCGTAAACTAAATTTTGTCATCAAATCTTTTCTATGTACACTGCATGTATGTTTAAATGTAAATCCTTTGGTAAGAAGTGTTTTTCACTTGTGTGTCTTTAGTACAAATCTTGTTGATTTTGGATATGTATTCTAGCAATGAATAGTATAAGAGAGCAATTTCTCTGCGTTTTTAAGATATAGAAGGTAAATTAATATTTTGGAATAGAGATCATTGTTGAGGAAGGAGGTAGAGTCGATTGGATTTCAGATTTGTAACTTATTTGCAACACTTCGTGCCGCTAGCTTTGCATTACCACTACCATATGCGTTATTTTCTTATCATGGCAATTTTCTTATCAATTTCCTGTTTTTTTTTAATATTTTGTATAGTGGCAGCACCATGTAATTTGGACGAGAGTATGCTAGGACGAATGTATATGGAAACAAAGACATCAGAAGATTTCAAAGCTACCATAGCAACAGAAGATGTGATTATACTTTCCGGTATGCAAATACCATTCATTGACGATTCATTTATCAAGTTCAGTATTTTATACAGATGCCGATATTGGCGAGAATCATGGGTTATATTATCGTAATTGCTTGTGGTGCCTTAAACGGATTGACAAAGAAACCATTCACTGATCCCTCAATAGATACAGTATCAGAGGCCGCAGTAGCTCAGTCGGTTAGTGCCATGACCTACATAACTCGGTTGAAAATCCACGATGCGTGGTATGACGTTCCCTGCCCGCTGATCGTGTGTCTCTGAAAGCTGAGAATGTACCTATCTGTGCTGACGATGTTAGTTGTATGTTGTTCAAGGAGGTAGACACCAGCTAATACAAGGAGACTCCGTCATCATTCATTTACTTTTCTTGGATAACTGGAATAATTTCAAATGAATTTTGTCGGAAATATTATTGGGTAAATGGTGTCTTGGCGGGGCCACCTAGAGAAAACAAAGCAAATTCTCCAAAATCTTTATCCTCCTGTAGGAATGTCTGTTCTTTGCCAAAATTTGGTCTGAAGGCAGATTATGTGCAATCATTTCGCCATACATATCTATTTCAAGATTAAGGAACACACGGTTGGCTCAAATGTTTCCTATATACAGTATCTAGAATGGTACAGTTGGTGCAGAAAGCGTTACACCATTAACATGTTAAAGGCTAACGCGTTAATGTATTCGGTTTTGACGAGAATGACCTATCATTCAATAGTGTCTTACGATTGGTCTTAATCACGTTTATTTCATGGCAAAAATGCATCGTGATGTGATAAGATTATGTGTTTGTAACTTTATATCTCAATACGAGCTTATAAATATACTGTACATTGCATCAATTTTACATTGTATTGCAGGTGTATTGGGATCTGGAAAGACTGAGGTTGCCACACAGTACGGATATGAGTTCCATAAAACAAATCCAACTTCAATCGTTTGGATGATGCGCTCAAAAGACCAGGCATCACTACAGATGTCCATGACGACTCTTGCTAATAAACTTGGCATCCTTCATGGTAAAGATAAGGACGGTGTCAAGTTGCTGGAAGATATCATAACAAACGCCATTGTTGGGAGAAATACACATACATCACATGTAATCATCTTTGATGATGTCAGAGAAGTTTGTCAGGGGACGGTGAAAGAAATCATAAAAAAATTGGTACCATCGGCAAAACCTCAAGTATCCATAAAGATCATTGTCACCACAATGGATAAACTTCTGAAGTTACCAAGAGCAAAGCGCATTCAGGTACGAGGTTTCACTGAGGAAGAAGCAATAAATTTCTTGAGTGGGAATCAAACATGTACAGACAAGGATGCTCTGAAAACGTTATCAAAAAGGATGAGTTATCTCCCCTTAGGCCTCAGCTGCGCCAAGACGTACATGCTTAATTGTGCTAAAAGCGGCAGAGCATTTCTGAAGCTTTTAAACGCCAACACACTGGATAAACTTGACAGTAAACTTGCACAACTCGAAGAGAGTAATCGAAGTCTATATAGTGACTTGGACACTCTGATAAGAATAATGGAGAAAGAGTTGGATGAAGATGCCATTGAAATGTTTAGAATGACACAGTTTTTAGAGAATGAAAACATACCTGTCGTATTGTTTGAGCTGCTGTTTCCATATTCCGAAAGCAGCTGTGAAGATGCTGACAAAAAGTTCGAGCAAGATGATTTTGCGACATGTAATTCTCTTAGCATTGATTCTTTGGTCCAAACAGTGCAGAAATTTTCAATGGGAACTATTCAGGGAATCGACGATAAAAGAACGCTCACTACACATACTGCAGTTTCCTTTACGCTAGAAGCCTACACCGACGAAGAAACGAAGAGACGACTCCTGAAAAAGTTACTTTGGCCGTTTGCTTTGATACTGGATAAAAATAACCGAAATCCAGACGACTACAGCCGCATTGTGTCTATACTTCCTCATGCCAGATCGGTTCTTCTAAAAGCACAAACTTTGCTGAAAGAGGATCTGGAATTGTGTCTACTAATGACATTTATCAATGACCTGGTAGCATACACAAACAATTTTGAAGGTCTGCTTAAACTGGAAAAGTACCACTCTGAACAAGCTCTCGAATACTGTTACAAGATCATGGAAACAACAGAAAACACCTTGAATAAAGAGGTATATGTTGAACAATGCATTACGCATGAGGAACATCGTAAATTCGCGAAAGCAAAAGCAGCTTTGATAGATAGGAAGTTGACAAAGATTGGGGATTCAAACAGAGGCCAGATTGAACAATTTATCCGACATTTTATTCTGCAAAAGAGGAGAACATGTTCAGATGTTCAGTTTCTTACAGCAAACACGGAGAATTACGAAGGGGAAGCGCTGACGATGCAGCAGTATCAAACGCTATGCAAGAAGGAGCGGGCTGTTCCACTGACAGATCTTGTTGATAGTTTTATTACAGAAATGATTTTGTCAACATTCTATACATACGGTCGACGCATATTTTTTATTGGAAAGTATGCAGAGGATGATGTAAAACGAAAATTCATTCATTATCTCTTTCTTGCGAATGAACTCGGAGAAATACTGAATACTAAATGCCAAAAACACATCCCATTGTATTGTATGCTTGCTCAAATAAGCGGCATTCTGGAGTTGGTTTTCGAAGATATACCAGAGTTAGGTTTCTCCACAGTCAATGGCCTCCATAAAACAGCTAAAATGTTTCAACATCACCTTGATGACGAGCACAGCTATTACATATTTGGGATATTCAAAATGCAGGCGTCTACTGACGGCATTCACAGGACCGCCTGTCTGAAGCAACTGTTGCGAACGTATATAGAACTTCTTAAGAGACACAAAACTGCATCAAATGATAAATCGGAAATCATCAGTAAAGGCAAGGATGTTATCAAGAAATTAGAACAAACTAACCTTGACGCAAATCCAAGAAGTAGTGCAATATGGTCACGAGTTGGTCAGTTCCAATTTGCTATTGGAGATACTGAAAACGCGACAGTAGCTTTCAGGAGAGTGTGCCCCCCTTGCCTTCTAGCAGGTGATGTGGAGTCAAGATTTGTCTCGAAGCATGAACTCACAGCGGCGTATGGAATAGCTGATTGTTATAACAAACAGGAGGAAAAGAAGTTAGCAAAACAAGTCCTCGAAAACCTCCTTCACATGCTTCCAGATGTACAAATGCAAGAAAAACGCAATGTACAAGAACGCATATCTTCCTTACATTAATGTAGATATGTATCGTTGAATTTACGTAGAAATGTAGTACTATATATATATATATATATATATATATATATATCTCTCTCTCTCTCTCTCTCTCTCTCTCTCTCTCTCTCTCTCTCTCTCTCTCTCTCTCTCTCTCTCTCTTTATGCCATGTAAACTTCAGCAGCTACATATAGGTTTTGTAAATTGCACATTTACTATCACTATCAATGTGTATTTGACAGTGTACTGCAGCATGTACTATTTGCATCCACTTTACCGTACTATGTTTTGTCAATGAACTGCCAAAGAGCATGTTAAATCAGGACAAGGTGCTGTGATGGCATCGATACAATTTTTGCGCTTTATCAATGGTTGAACATAGAAAAGATACATAAAATGTTCATTTCTTCTAATTTAATATGTAAACATATATCTATAAGTGAAATTACCTGTGCGTCTATTTATATGTGTATTTATTTATCTATTTATCCTATTCTCATATAAGATTTTAACGTAGAACCCTCTCGAAATAACGACTGTTTGAAGTATACTGCATATATTTTTGTATGAATACAATCGATAATAGCATGAAAGTTGTGCGGAATCGCAAATCGCAGAACGTGTAAGATATGATAGTTACCAATGCTATAAAATGCATCTATTAACAACAGTAATCATTTCTTACTATTGCTAATACACCGACGTCAAAACACTGTTGCAAATGAACGAGCAACTTGTTTCATCGCCCATCAACAAAGTTGTTCGAGAAAATGACGCACAAATGTTTTTTATAATCAACGAAATATTGGAAATAATTCAAGAAAATATTCTTGCTTTATGAAAAGAAAAAAACCCACTTTCCTTTGACGTTATTACAGGACACTTGGACAATTATGCACGAAGGGATTTCTAGCGTTGGTGATGACTTATATTTACACGCATTCATTATTCTTCATTTAGTTATGTATTTTGTCGCAATTTTACTTCCCAATTACCAGAAGGCCAAGAGTACATTTATATTTGTCAATAGTGTGCTGCGATGAAGGCTTCCAAGTTGTTCAAATGTATTACCTCGAACCCACATTAAATGTCACATGTGTGAGAGAATCTCCAAACACAACCTCTGTTTAGTACCCAAGAGCCGCTGTTTCATTAAAATGATAACTCGGTACTGTAAGTAAGGGTCTGCTGTTTGGAATTAGTAGAAAAGTTATCAGAATAAAGTTGTCATATAAAAACGTTTTATAAGCCGCAGAACAGAAGAGCGTTACGGCACCATTGAGAGAATACAATATATTTTTGATTGAATGGTTTAATATATTGATTGCTGCATATTACATGGATAATCATTATTATTGTATTTCACTGTCTGGTATTTCTCATGAATTATTTCTAATGCGAAATTTTGAATCGTTTGCAATTAACGTTGTTATTGTTTGTTTAAAGAATCTTTTAGGAACCTTTTTTGTTTTGTTTTGTTTTTTTTTAATGCTTATCTGTGTTTCCTTTTGAGTGCAAACGGCATATTTTATAATTAGCAATGCAAGAAATAAAATCAATGCTGTGATCTTTCTTTTAGTAATTATTGGCATTGTTGAATGTTAGAAAGTCGTTTGAGTCATTGCTATAGATATCAAATTCAAGTATTGTTAATTAACACATTGACATACTTTACTTTAGTTTTTACTTTAGCAAATTGTCCCGTGATGATTTTGTTATCCTTTACATGTCACCATTGTTACTATCATGAAGGACCTCGAAGAAATGGACACTTCATAATTTTGATCAAAAAATGTAGTGATAGTATGCTTTAAATACTATTGAAAAACGACCTAACGTTTAAAGAGGTGTTAAATGTATAATTGGGATCCACACGGGGAGAACTTAGGAGATGGACATTGTTTTGATGCCTAGTGTGCTGAAAAATCCCTAGTATTGGGTAATCTGTGTCTTTGAAACGTCAGGCAACTCGGAACGTTTATAAATAAAAAAATATTTTGATCTAATTCTATTTGTCAACTTGTGACTTCACAAGTCGATTGCAGCAGAAATTTGGCAAATATTTCCGTTCACACTATCATTCCTATTCCCTGACATAGGTATATACTGCAATACTTGCATTTGTGTAGCAAAGCCTCTGGATGACACCAAACCCAATGCGTATATTTATTGGAAAAGACACGTGGCGATTAAGCTTGCACTAAAGTTAAGGTCATTGTTAATATTTATGTAACTGCACAACGTTTCTTTATAGTCCTAATTTTTATATAAACGTGGTTCAAATATGAAGAGACATGTAAGATGTAATTTTATATAATGATAGAAATATCTATTTAAGATAAGTTATTGAAAAACCGAATTTAATATAATTTGCTCTCGGACCAATTTTGTCGCTGTTCGCGTTGTCAATGACGACCAAATCACCCCACCTATTCAACTGATGCGCCCCTGTTCTTTCTGAGGGTAGGTTTTTCATCATTTGTTTATTAGTTTGTTATATGAGAAATCCGTGATCACTAATGTAGACATATACGTATGTAACGGTTGTTATATATTTACACTGGGAAAACTACCTATTTACTTGGACCGCGCATTATGTAATCACCCCAATGTTGATATGGTTCATGGCAGGTACAAGAAATAAAAATGAGAAGAGAAACGTAATAAAAAGTGCTTATTTTTTTCTTTTGATTATTTCATTTTTTTCGGGGTTTTATAAAAGCTTGAAGCAAAAAGAATAATTTTGCTATATCACAACCAGTAGAACATTTAATTGTAACGATTGTAAGATGTTTTAGGCTGTACTTTACGCTTATGTACACTAAGGTAGAACATAGTGAGACAATATTGATATCCTACTTGTTGTAGTTTTATAACTTCCATTCTAGAGAAGTATACCAATGGTCAATGGGTTACGTAACTGTTTGCTGATAATCATATATAAAAACGTACTTTTCTCATACCCGAAACTGATGTGGATTTCAACATTGCTAAAGTGTTATATATATAATTAAACGATGGCAGTCAGCTGTTTACGTGTGCAAAATGACGACAGATGTGTCCAATGCTCCTTAATATGTCTGGTAGTTTCTTTGTTATAGACCCATGTTACATTACATACAATGAAATGGCCAATATTTACAAAGTCAATATCCTCGATATAGCATAAGACGCCTACCCTTCCGAAACTCCAAGTCTCGTATCTTTTCTGCATTTTGATGGTCTCCATGTTAATCTTTTCTTGTCCTCGTGTCATCATATTTTGAGTTTGAATAAAGTTTCTGTTGACATATCGGTGTTTTCTTTATTATTTCAACGAGAAATTAGAGAAATAGATTCCCAGCAATGAGATAATACCTTGAAGTCTTTGAAAATTGTGAACATTTAATCCCAAACTGTTTATTATTGTAGGTTTGGTTTGGTTTGGTGATGATACTGACAATAGTATCCATCTTTTCGTACGCATTAAACTCTCAGAAATGATTAAGAGTTCAAAGATCTGTCGAGGAACTGCGGGAAATTTATGTCACTATGGGATTCGGTTTATACGATGGCGATGGATTTAGCGCAAATCAGACCCATGCAGACACAGTTAGCATCTTTCAAGAAAATGACGTGAACAGTAAATTACTCTCTGCAAAATTGAAAAGGTTTTCGGCATCTAAAATGCATCCAGTGCTTTGGTACATCGAGATTATCACTAACATTCTGTTGTTTATAGACTTAATTCTGCGTTTCTTCATATCACCTAGAAAATCTCGTTTCTTCATCAACCCGTTGCATGTGTGTGAAATACTCTCCATTGCAGCGTTTGTCTGTATGGTAAACGTTGATGCAAACCCACTTTTCATTCTTCGTGCACAGAGCAAATCAACAGTTATGTCATTTGGAATACTGTATACGGCCCGAGTACTACATATATTGCGCCTGGTCTATTACGTCGATGACATGCAATTTTTGGCGTTCAATCTGAAGTCGAGCTTTAGAACGATGTTGCTGCTGTTGATTTGTTTAACAACGTTTTCGGTATTGTTTGGCTCATTCATGCTCAATCTGGAGTTATTCAGCTCAGAAACTTTTGAAAACGTTTTTATATCGGTGTGGTGGGCGCTGGTAGGGTATGGAGACGAGTACCCTAAAACCCTTCAAGGCTATGTCCTTTGATCAATCACCACTGTTTTCGGTATAGTGCTGTACGCCATGCCCATCGCTATACTATCCACCAACTTCAGCACGTTCTACTGCTGTTAGCATCTCAAAGTGCAAGACAAACTGAAGCGTCAAACTTGGGATGAAGAATCGTTGTAAGGATTTGATTGTTTTGAAGAACTTCATTTTGAACCCTCCTTTACTCCAGTTGTCTAAAAATGTGTGTTTTTTCAAGGGCGCATCAGTAAAGGCTAAACACAAAACACGGAATAAACATACAATGTAAGATAAAATACCCGTTTGTTATTGTTATATGTGACATTTTTCTATTGGGTCGAAGGTTACAAAACAACGCCTTATTTTCATACACATCTTTTTTTTAAATTCAAATATAATGTTCAGATAATACATTGCTGTTGAATAGTTTCAAATCTTTGAAAATATTTCTGACTGATATGACAAATAATATTGATGAGTGAAAAAACGACTGAAAAAGAAACGACATTTTGAAAAAAATAAAACGAAAATTCTAGTCTTGTAGGTTATATACAATTTTGTCTGGGTAAACACATTTGTTTCTTCCAAATCAACACGTCTGATATTTAGGAAATAAACTATCAAACGTTTATACCAATGATCGATAAAAGTCAAAACAACAGCAGAAATAGTAGATTTTATATCACCTAAAAAGACTATAACTATGTATTTACCGATTAGTGAAAGGACCACGTGTGTACAATGGTAAAACACACTGTTTCAGTTGAATTATTGCTTCAGAAATTAACAAACGTAACAAAAACTAACAGCTGTGTTTTACTTGAATTCTCGATATTCCCTCCGACATTTCTTCTTTCCTGTCACTGTTTTAATGATGGCGACCACGGCAGCCATTATGGACTTCGAATCAATCCCAAACCAAGAAACAATGACACCATGTTAAAAATGGCCGCTATATTGAAAATCTTATCAGGCTAGAAATACTGACCAAGCCAAAAATAACAACCTTTTTGTCGGCAATATTTCTTCAACCCAACACCAGGTTTCAGCTATGCAGCTTCCGCTAAACTGGAGATCGAAAAAAATTAAAGTGTGTTTTCAAAATGCGGCTGCAGTAAATTCTGATCAGGCCAAAAGTAACACATGGAATTATCGGTATTCCTCCCGTCAATGTCTCCATCAAATTCAAAATTGAACTCAACAATGGTTCCAACAGACAGGAGAAAAGGCTTCAATGACTTTGTCTCGACTTTCGAACTGACACTGAGAAACGGTAACACTTGGTCAAAGTTATCTCAGGATCTTCCGTTTAATTCCATGGCTGGAACTTGTGATGAGGTGTGTAGAAACTTTATACACTGTACATGACAACACGATAGCTTTAGTTCATCGTTTCCGTTTACCGTTTAATGCTGGGTAGACGTTACTAACGCGTATTAGCTACAATGCAATAATTGAGAGGTGAAAACTGACCAAAAAATTCTACCTCTTTTGACAGTTGTTAGAAACTCTTCTAGTCTACCACTTGTGTCCGCGTAGGGATTCCAAACATAGCTCCCGAATTCAAGATTGATTGATTGATTGATTTGATTGATTGATTGATCGATTGATTGGTTGATTGATTGGTTGATTTGATTGGTTGATTGATTGATTTGATTGATTGATTGATTGATTGATTGATTGATTGATTGATTGATTGATTGATTGATTGATTTATTGTTATTCGATGAGTCTCCCTATGTTGTACAGTGAAGAAGGAGACTCCGACTCCAATTGACCCTACCTACTTAACAAACCATTCGGCAAGAGTATTGTGTTCATAGAAACGGCGACAAGACGGATAACACTGTCAAAGAATGAACAATTGCTTTTAGTTCACGCCACATTGTGACCGACCCCCAATGCACAGGTAAAGTCAACGGTAACGGGACTTAAAAATTAGTAACAGTCCCTGTGAATATTGACTGTACCATGGTTTACCAAAGAGGGGTGTCATTTTTTACAGTATGTCAATCTACCTCTCTAAAACGTATGATCACGTTCTAAACTGAACATTATATGTTCATAACAAATATTTACTTGCATATAATGTAGACTGTTATTCATTGTTATGTCACAGTGATATTCCTTGTTATCTTAACTAGGGACGCGTATATTTCCTGTCCTTGTTGAATCTTATTAAAATCTGTGACAATATGAATTCACTTATGTTCGCACAGCTAATATATCCACATTGAATTTTAAAATGCTTTCAGAAGCGTCACAAATACCTTGTCGTTTGTTCGTATAGGAAGCGTTCGATCGTATGTGGCACAAAGGACTGAATGTAAAATTGATGAATTATGGAATAAATGGGAAACTTCTGAATTTGCTAAAAAAAAGTTGTCAGTAACCAGAAAAAAAAGTTTTTTGTAGAAAATTATATGTAGTTCGTCTTCCGTCAGAACTGCTGATGCTGGCGATCCGAAGGGGTCAGTATTGGGTTGTTTTTTTTTATTCCATATATAAACGACATAGCTGATGACCTTGGAAGTTTTTTTCCAAATTAAGATGATACGTCTTTATTAAGTTCTGATCGATCGCCTCCGGAAATTGAAACTAAAATAAAGAACGAATGAGGAAAAATTAAATGGAAAAATGGCTGGTGGAATTCATTCCTCTGAAAGCGGAGTCCTTACAGATTTCAAATTATGAACATGTTATAGACATAACATATAATAATGTAGATGTAGAATTTTTTGATTATCATAACACCTAGGAGTAACTTTAGATGCAAATGGTCCACTGATACCAGTCATATTGACAGCATATGTAAAAATGTATCAAAAAAGGTAAGCATTCTCCGTAAGCTCAAATATGTTTTAAATAAACAAACTCAGATTAAAATTTACAAGTCATGTATTTTGCCATTATTTGAATACTGTTGCGAGGTTCGGGACGGGTGTTCTCTTGATGATATAGACCAAGAGAACCAACTGGACCAATTGGAAAAACTTCATTTAGAAATTGCAAGAACAATTTACTGGATTACCTTCTGTTGCTAACAGTCGATCATGTTATTCTGGAAGTTGATTAGAATCGCTTGCAAATCGTCGTTCTCGTAGAAAACTTCAACTATATTATAAACTTGCAAATCAGCTAACACCTTGATTCTTACTTGCTCTGCTGGCTCCCTTAGAATATGAAAAATTCCATTGTAATCTACATGACGCTAACAAATACTCTTTACTACATTTCCAACTTCAGCTAACCAAAATTTCGTTTTTCCCATCTACTATTCAACTTTGGAACCAACTACATGTATATCTAGAGATTCGGCAAAGTATTTCATATTCAGTGTTTACAAAACTCACATAAATAGAACACAAGTACCTAACTATTATTCTGTTGGAAATATAGTATGATATTTTGCAAGCCAGATCAAGAGATAAATGTAGCACTTTAAATAACGACCTTTTTCAATCTCATCTAATTGACTATCGTCACTGTCTATGTGGCCAACCTATTGCGGATGCACACCATTTCTTCTTCACCTCTAACATTCATGTAGAACTGAGAATAGAATTGTAAATAATTTCATACCGCTAGACCTGCAACTATTACTACATGGAGGCAGTGATTTATCCGTAGAACATAATGTTATAATGTGCCAAAACATTCAGAAATACATTCTTGACTCGAATAGATTTTAATGTCCTATCTCTCTCCCTTTCATCAGAGTGTTGTTGATTATTTATTTTCTTATATTCACACAAATAAAACAATTCTTTCTCTCTTCCCCGCTCTCTCCCTCTCTCTCACAGATGAAAAAATGTATTCATGCAATCATGCCATCTTGTTTATACAGAATTGTAAAATTTCTGTTGGGTAAATGTTTCATATAAGTTTGAAAAATTGTGCCCAATCCTTTGGTATACAAATGAAATAAGTTTAAATAAAAAATTTAGACATAACAAAATAATCTCCACTCCATACCTCTATTTACAACTATTGAAGACAACATCTGTCACTCTGTCACAAATACTGCATATTTATTCACATTGCTTCCGGCTTTTGTAACTGTAGATTGAAATACACATCCTTCTGCTCGTTATAAGTATAGATTTTTATAATTACGTGTTATGATAATATATCTTATAATACATTATATATAAAGATAATTTTTATAGTTCTTCATTTGTAAAGAAAGGGGCGGTGGGTGCACTTTCGTTAATTCGACTGAATTTTTAATTGGTTGTCGGTTTGTGTTGTATGAATTAAGGGTACGTCATAATGTCTAAATACCAATTGGATAATAAAATCTGTAATATTTACATTAGCTAGATTCCTGAACAGATTAATTTGGTAGCATCCTGTTTGTTTTTACACTCGCATACAGTACTTCGTTTGTCGACTCAAAATATAATAATTTCATAATTGAAATTGGAAAAAAAATCCTTTCTACATGTGTGTAACCATAGAAGTAAGTGTCAACAGAATATACGCCAGAATTAGCTAAACAGATTTACATCGAAATTTATTCTTTTTTTTTTAAAGAAAAAACAACAACAAAAAAAAAGCGAAGGAAGCTTCCTGGTATATTTCTATAGGACTACTTTGACAGCGTTGAATTTGTGACGTCACATCAGAGACGTGGGCTACCCATATCGAGGCAGTCGTCGATGAGCCAAAGGTTTGCATTTCAGATAGATCACATTAGCTTGGAAACGGAAGTAACTATGATGTACGCAATTTCTGGACCTCTTATTGTGTGATATGAAGTATTGTATAGCAAAACACTCAGGGCTCACTCTAAAGATGTTTTTTATGATGAATTAACTGTCATATGAATATTTATATCTTATAAAACTTTTTATTGTGAAATATTGAATATTTATATCTTATAAAACTTTTCATTATGAAATATCTCATGTATTGTGTATGCATTATAATATATCGTACATTAATATAAGATGCTTTTTTGCGGCAATATTTATTCTTTTTAACTTGCATTTGTAACATTTAAGGTAAGATCGGGACGGACTTGCAGTTAACAACATAGGTTTCAAAAAGCTTTGTTTATTCATAAACGAGCAACCTTATTCAAATCGATCCCTACTGTTTGTTCCATAGCGTTCCGCTCACATGTAACTGGAATGAATTCCTGGTTCCGTCGCTTATCAGTGTTTTAGTATTTTCTCCACACAGTACTGATCAGCGTCACTAAAACTTTTCGAGATGAACAATGGTACAAAGCGTTTTAACGACGATGTATTATTGGAAAAAGTGATGTCGGCAGCGGGAGTTTTGCACTGGTATCGATGATAATTTGAAGACGACAGTTTTGGTGTTGACGTAAATTGGCTGGAAATATAAACTATCAAAATGAATCTATTTGATCACGTGAAGCAGCTGCACGATTCAGAATTATACCAAGACTTATCCCAACTGGTAAGGCAAACGATCATCATACTGCTGTGTTTTCAATATTCAGCTGATTTTCAAAACAAATAATAGACGAATATAGTTATTTGTAGGCTACTCACATGCGTGATCGAGTGACCCAGTGAAAAAGATATTTAGAAATGTCGGTTCACCCGTGATTTATAAAACATTGTCGTTTTCTTATGAGCTTTCGTCCAATGTGACCATTATCCTCACCAGCAATTCAAATGTGCAATGTGCCAATGGTATTGGTTTCTGTACTGTACTGTACAGTATCGTAATTTTGTCTAAAATATCAATTCAGGTATACTTGAATATTTCATTATGTAATGTGTAATTTTGTACTTAGATATACAGGTAGCTATTAAAATGATAAAGAGGAGAATCAATGCTATATATAGACCTTTTAGATCAATTGTCCCTGTCATTAAAGCTGATATTTAGATAAAACTTCCACTGATGTTTCATATAAACTTAATTTCATTTATACACACACACATATATATATACACATTACAATAGTAAAACAGTTACACATGAATCAGATTTGGAAAACAAGTTATTAACTTATACAAATCTGTCTTCATTACTTAAAGGCACATTGATTGAACAGGGACAGTATCATACTGCAAAGTGAAACAAAGATTCATGTACGTTTATTGATGTTAATCATTGTATTACTGTTGAATCTGTAATGCAACATTTGTGCTGTGAAGGCAACACAGAGGTCCAAATAATACTTTGATTTTTGCGTCTTGGTTGGACAGCTGCTTATGCTTGCAGTTTCATTCAGTTTATTGAGAAGATGCTGGTGAGAAATATAATAGGGACAGAAATTCAGTTCAAAAATTTATTAACATGTAAGTTTTGTAAAATCATATCAAAACACAAGAAGCCACACAAGGTCACACTGGATGCACTGGCACAGTTTCAGCAAAGTTCGGAACCAAAAAATATTAGTCAACACTGTGGATGATTTTGACCCAATTATGCCTGGCGTTACTTGATAAATTGTATTACAGGCAAGTGTTGTGATTACACTTTGTGACAACAGTACAGATGTAGAACTGCTTACCCTTCAACAACGCTACCAATGCATGGTCTACTACGGCAATGCCTTGTACAATATGTCCCAGTACCTCAAAGCAGAGGTAAGCTAATTCTTTTGTGTTAGCTGTTGTAATACATAAACCTATATGTGCCTTATTCCTGAAACGTCAGTAGTTATTTTTATTTATTTGAACTAAGCACCTGAACAATACTTATATTTACTATGTGTCAATCTTCAATATTAATGTTTAGAGTTGTCTCCCTAGACGCCTGTGGTAAACTTCTTGTCAGAATAATGTTAACAAGTTACAGTCAAGGCAACATTCCATACAATGTACATCTGTATTTGTTATCAATTTATCTCCTTTTGGATACTAACAATTCTTAATATAATTTGAATCAAGATTATGATTAATTTCCAATATACTATAATGACTAATGGAAAAAGACAATGTAGGATTAGAAATAGGTTAGCGGATTAATCAAACCAACAAAAAAGCACCAGAAAGATTTTAAGTTTGAGGAAGGAACAAGCTTGAAGATTTAAATTTGGTTATAACTATTTAATTAAATTTGATTATTTATTGTTTTGATTTTTCAACATGTTCACTAAAAACAGTATTTCATTAAACTGTAATTTTTCCAGGACACATACAAGAAAGCTATAATTCTAAGGAAAGGTCTTAACAAGTCTAAGGTGAAAGGTGGCCCACCTTGTCACATGGTAAGCACATAAAAAGTCTGGGAAATGTATCATAGTTTCCCATTTACCTTTAAACAGATTCATTTATTAAAAGAAATTTAATTTAAAAAAAAAGCCATTGAATAAAAAAAATCTTCAAACAGTACACTACATAATATTTCTTTTATAAATGGATGTATTATGACTTAATGTTTGGAATGCAATACATCTAATTAAGTAAGTGATTTTCTTGCTTTATCTTAATGAATAACTTCTCAGATACATCTACAATTTCTTAGGTTTACTATATATAAACAGGGGTATACATGTACACCATTTCATTAATATCAAAATTATCAGTTCTCTATAGTATAACAATAACTAATTAAGTTGTGGTCAAAATGACAACACCTAAAGAGGGGAGATAATCTTTGCAGGAGTTGACGTCTGAGGTGGAAGTGAAGTATAAGATGTATCAGTGTCTGCTCCAACAGAAGCAGTACAAAGAAGCAATGTCTGTGGTAAGTATATGATTTAAGCATAACTGAAATATTTATAATAAAACAACACAAATTTCGAATTGTAAAATGTTTGAATATTTGAGTTTTTCAGTTCAATATCTGCTTTGAAGTTGAGGCTATGAATATTGTAATGTCGTCCATGCACATGAAATTCTTTTTCCTGACAATCATATCATTATTCATTAACCAAATTACTAAATTATCATAGATTAGGCTTTTGAATGGAAAATTGTTCATAATTACAACAAACATCATAGATATCGTAATAATAATTATTTGTGACTGAATACAACAATGACTAATATTTATTGTGTCCATTTCTTTTCCTCATTAAGCTGGAGGGTATAAGCTCACGTCAAAGGAACCCAAAGATTCACCTGGCTCTAGCCAAATTGTACTTGAGGGCAGGGATGGATCGGTCAGCGATAACGAGCTACAAGGAGGTCATTAGGTCAGAATCTGAAGATTAATGCAGTCAATTACCTAGGTCTTCAAGATTTAATTTAGAAACTTTTAAAAAATAGTGCCCATATCATTTTACGCCGCCGGAGGCAGTCGTATATTGGCATCATCTCCGTCCTTACGTCTATACGTCCATTTCTTGTGAACGCAACTCCTCCTAAACTAATCATCAGATTTTCATGAAGCTTGCTCAATGTCATTACTACAATGGGTAGATGTGCATGAAGGGGCGATTTTTCGGTTCTTTGATTTTTGTAAGATTTATGCCATTTCCAACTTTGTATATGAGCTTGCTCTTAGTGGAGCTTTGTGAATGCAACTCCTCCTAAACTAATGATCAGATTTTCATAAAACTTGCTCAATGTCACTAATACAATGGTTTGATGTGCATGAAGGGTCAATTTTACGGTTCATTGATTTTTGTAAGATTTATGATACAGACATGTTAAAAGCGAACAATCTTGATCTTTATATTTTGTGGCGGCGTATATTGTGTCCACGGCACTCTTGTTTTTCATATGTAATCAGTAGACCCTATCTTAATTTGGCTGATGGCCTCTGCTTTGCAGGATCATTCCCATATGGGTTGAACTCATACAGTGAATAAATTGATATTGAAAAATCTGAGAAAGGCTCCTCTAGATATATTCTAGATATATCATGGAAAAAGTTTCACTGACAAATATTGTTGGATATAATAATATTTATATTTTGTTTTTACAGGGTTTGTCCGCTAGCTTTGGAAGCTCTGAATGGTTTACTTGGTTTAGGGGTAAAAGGGTCAGACGTGGCCACTCTTGTAATCAACGGTCTTCCTCATGGTACACCCAATGATTGGTGAGCATTGTCCTGTCTCCTGTTAGGATACAAATCCAGACAGGAGTTACGGTACTTTGTATAGACAGTGTATATTTACCATAATTCTGCAAATTATTACGTCGTGAAAATCTGTGTACTTATTGATGGGGCAAGATTGTAAACAGCATGTCTAGTTGATTGGTAGTGGTATCACTTTTATTATATAAGTCCTATGATTTGAAATTTTACACATCCTAAAGACAGCATACCTAGTTAACCAAAACAAGTCAACCATTATTTTGAATTTTGCTGATATCAACCAATGTTGTCCTGTCATCTCTACCTTTGTCTTTACTTTAGTCATCCTGAATCCATTAACCTGTCACCTTTTCTAATTTTGGAAACAGCATTGTAACAAAATGATTTCACTGTGACTGCATTCTAAAAATAAAATAAAAATATGTATCCCGCACAGGCTCTCAATGTGGATTAAGGGACAAGCACACTTGTCATCAAGGGAGTTCAGCAGTGCTGTCGCTACATTCCAACTGATGGACACTAAAGCATACCTCAAAGACAATGTTCTCTTGGTTAACAGTCTGGCTGAAGCCCTTTTTTACGATGGACGCTACTCTGGTGCACTGCAAGCTTTCCAAAGGGTCAGTCTATCATGGTTCAGAATGAAATCTGTTTTGTGACGATTTGAAGAATGACAATATTCAATGGACAAATCGGAATAAAAGATGTTAAAATTGACAGTGTAATAGATTGTTTACAGACGCTGAAGAAAAATAATTTCATTTAAATTCATTAAGAATTATCTGGGTCCATGTCGCTTAGTTTTTATAACTAAAGCATATCTGCTTTATCTAACTGTTGAAAGCCATACATCGTTGTAATTTATTTATAAATCAAGTTTCAACAGCTTGTTGTCGGTTTCTAAATAGATAGATGAATGCTGTTTGAGGACTTGCGTGTGATGAAATGTGTTGTTTCTGCTGTACAGTTTTCATATTGATTTTTTATAAGAACATTTATGAATTGTGATATGCTGTGTGGCTTCACAGATCTTTTATATCTCTAAAACACTTGAATTTTATGATGACTCACTGACAACTCATTAAAAAATTGTCTGTGTTTCTGATACAGGTGCATGCTCTAGATCCACTACAAGTTAAGAACATGGACCTTTATTCATACCTGCTTTCCAAAGAAGAAAAAGTGAAAGATTTACAAAGGTGCGTTTGTGTGATATGGTGATGCCCTAATCAGTGTTCAGATAGTCAGAAGATTTCTTGATGCCTGATTGCTTTTCAAACATCATTTTTCATTCAAAAGGAAACAAACTTTAAATTGCCAAGATTGAAATCATTAGTGATGGTTATTCCCTGCGAGATATGTTTGCTGGGAATATTAAAATTGGCTCTGTTTGTCGGTCCAAAGAGATTCATTGGCATACAAATTGAAAATTGTTCGAAGTATCTCTACAAAATTTGAAGACTTGTCTCTGTGGAAAACATAGTCTCTCTTTAACATGGAAACATCATCTCAATAACAAAATTTACTATTTGCAAGTTTTATCCAGGCTAAGACTTGAAAACTGTTCAGCTGACCTTTATACATGGTAAATACTAACTTACTCTAAGACAGATATATACATATATCTGTTTGGATGTTCCTACTAACAGCAGGATGTGAGGGATAATGCAAAACTGTGCGACTTCCCTGTTTCTTTAAAGTATTAAACAGCAGTCAAATTTTAACATCTCATCAATAATGGGCGACAGAAAATAAGGTTCTAAAAATTTCCAAATGTTTGGAAAAAGCTTTGAAGTTTGAAATGCAAATCTAACAAAGCTACTTGAAGTGTTCTATAAACAGCAAAGGGAATCAGTACAGCTATGATCTATTACAGGCTTTCCCAGAGACTGATGAAGATCACAGAATATGCTCCAGAATCCTGGATTTCAATGGGATATTTCTCCATGGTAACTCACAAGGAATCCCGCACCAGGACAGTCTACTTTGCTCAAAAGGTACAGTCACTGATTATCACCTGTTTCTGCTATTTTACAATGTGTATGAAATGGTAATACTAAATTTTCTTCAATGATATTTCACAGATGTTCAGTTGAACATATTCATCGTTAACACATGCTGTGTTTTGATGTATTTAGAGTAATTGTGTTTGAGGTTTCTAGGTCAAAATTAACAATATTTGTTAATGTACAATGGATTTTGATATATTAAACTCATCTCTAAGGCACTACTTGATATGATTTAATGCTATGTTATGATAACTAAAAGTAATATTTTTCAGGCCAACAATTTAGATTCTTTTAACATAGAGGCATATCTACTGAAGGGATCAGCACTACTGGAACTGAAGAAAAGTCAGGACGCCTCCCTTCACTTCCAGGAGGCCCTGAGACTAGCACCACACAGATACGAAGCTTATCTAGGTACAACTGTTTTAGTGTAACTGTTAACGTCTACATTCTTCAAATTTGTATGTAACTTCCTTGCTTAACCCTTTCGGCACCAAATATCTCTCAGCGCCAAATATTTCTCACAATGTACAGCTCAGCACCAAGTATTATAAAAATATATAATAAAGATATAAAAATTGTCGACCAAAGTCGCCTACAGCGGCCTGGCAGATGTCGACTTTAGTCGCCTATGGTGGCCTGTCTGCATGTCGACTTTAGTCGCCTACGGCGCCGAAAGGGTTAAAAATTCCAATTTTAGAGTCACCAAATCACCTGATTTTATCAGGTCAACCTGATAGTAGTGTAACGACAGGATGGATTATCAATGTATTGCAATAGATTTGTCCTTAACTGTAGAAGGTGATAGCATATTTTTAAGTCAAAAACTATCATGATAATTGGTTCAACTACCAACTGTTAATGATAGAAATTTTAAGTCAACAAAAATACTACCTTTAAGCAAGACTTTTCATTAAATTATTGCCGAATGTCTACAAAGCATTTGTTTATTCTTGAAACATCTTTGGTACCTTGATCAGGATTTTAAATGTTACACTGGTGAGAGTTTATATCTTTAAGAAATGTCATATTGATATTATTTCCAAAAAATTATCTAGATAAATCTACAGAATGTATGTTTAAAGGAGATAGTGACTTCTTTCACTCTGGGTCCATGTTTTAGAACTATCCTTGAAATGACCCAATCAATCAACAATACCAATGAAGATAGCAGCATTTTTAAAATGGTTCCCAATGAAATGGCAAAAGTAGTGGTATTGAAAGCATTTTGGTTCATTAAAATTAATGACAAAGTGTCTCAAAACTAATCATATTTAAATCATTGCTTGTGAAAACACAAGGCACCTTCATTTAGTAAATATTTTCCTACCTTTATTAGACCCAGTACTTCAATATATATTTATTTTGACATGACTCTGATTACGATGTCTGAAGTTTGTCAAAATTTCTGTTAAAACCATATTATTATGTCAATGTTGAATCAATTATTAACCTTTAACAACATCAAAACATTGAAATAAAGAGTAAATTGATACAGAATGGATTTTGAAGTTAATACTTGTATGAAAATAAGCTGTATACAAGTTTCACCACAGAGATCACAGAATAGCATGTTTATGTATGAAATGAATAAAAATGTAACTAAGTATACAAAATATCACAGTGCAACATACTTGATTGAATAAAAATGTAAATATTTCAGCTTTTACATTTGCTAAATTGAGCGTTCTGATAGATACATTTAAACTATTAGTAATTTTGCTTTATGTCTGGGTAAGTAAAAATTAGTTTAAAGGTAAAAAACCTACTGTGATTGTATCACACTAGTCACTGTACTATCGCAATAAATTTGCAGTAGTAATTTTACTATCGCAATACTATCATGATAGCTTTTTTTGCCTCAATAGTCACTTCTACAACCTCATACATGTCATATCATGATCTGCGTAAGTTTTGAAGGTTGAGATGACTGGGCAACATCTGTTTGGAAGATATCAGCAAAATTTGTTAGTTTTCATGTCAACCTGAAGATGGTTTCCCTAAAGTGCAGAAACATGTCCAACCATTTCTACCTTCAATTAAGATAACTTTTTTTGAACTGTACTCTGTATTCCAAAGGACACCATCTTTGGAGGACTACCAAAACATATTTACTCATTGTTTTCTTAATTTTTTATTGATATTGGAAATCAAAAATAAATTTTTGGAATAATGTGGTAAAAAAAATGTTCAAACTTAACACAGAATATCTACTAATTATAATACATACAGATGTGATAATTATATAAAAGAATTGATTGTAAGGTCTTTTCCTTGAAGATCTTTTAACACATTCTGTCGCCTTTGATTCTGAAAGGCTCTAGCCAGTTGTTCACTGCAGGATGGAGTTTCATATATACCTGTTTTGAAATAGAATAAGATAACCATGATGTTGAACAGGAAAATTAGTGCAGTCTACAGTTTTGTAGATGAAAGAGAATCAAATGAATTGTACTATAAAAGTTCCTATAATGAACAGTAGTAGATTTGAGAGCGATGTTTTCATGGCTCCAAGACAAATGACCCGTGTGAAGTGTACTATCACAGAAGTACAATATTGTAAGGAATCAACAACCTACCTTTTTGGCTGTACCATGTTCCTTTGTACACTGAAAGTGGTAAACAGATTATAGAAAAAATTACATAAATGATAATATTGCACTGTAGTGGATTTGGTTATGTTTTGTCACACTCTAATCTCCTACATGTTGTGTTATAAGAACTTTTATTCTGTTGATATTATCAGTCTGAAGAAAATGTAATGAAATAAATGGTAAATTATCTTATGTTTTTCAGGTCTGATCAATTGTTACATGGCTAGTCATCGTACAAGGGAAGCTCTCTCCTGGGCTGGAAAGGCGATCAAAATTCTGGGCAATAATGCCAGGACTCTCACTGTAAGTAGTGTGGATCTCAGTACAGTTATAGTCTGTATATAATTTTATAACATTTTAGAATCATACTTTACTGTTATGATTAATTATCTCACACTCTTTACTGTATTCCTAGTAGCTGGGAAAAAAGGTTTTCAGATTTCAACGTACATAGAGGCAAGAAATATGTGGAACTTTCTTTTCAAAAGAGTAGAAATGTATATGTCAAAATGTGAATTTTCTGTACACTTTTAGAAGAATTTTATCTATAAATTTTGCACCTTACTAAAAACCAAACAGTAGAAAATATTTAAATTCCTTTTCAAAGCGTTTTAAATTTGTTTAACAAAACCATGCTATCAAATACAGTAAGTTTTTGTTAACTATTCACAAGGAAACTGATGGATCTATGCATAGCCATTATTGACCAGCCTTCCTACCTATGTATGCTTCTGTTTACGATATGCTTTTAATACATTTGAACGATAACAGATTCAGTTTCTTTTGATCCAGTGTGAGATTATTTTCATCCTCTTTTCACTTCATGAAAGTTTTTGTCAATTATGTTATCACAGTATTGATGGATATAAATAACTCTATTTATAACATATCGTCATTTCAGCTGTATGCTTCAGTACTATCTAAAGAGCCGACAATGACAGCAAAGGTAAGTTCCTTATAGCTGTATATTTACATGTCAGTACAACTGTATAATGTAATCGAAGAAAAAAATATTGGCAAGGACTATGAATTTATAAGTCTCTCTTGATGACATAACTGTAGCCATGGAAACACTGATGCTTCACCATCAAAATGGCTGTTCCTTTTGAAGAATCATGCTCTCGTTAAATCATATTGTTAAATCTGTGAAATTTATATGTTAATACACGAAACTGACTGCCTTGCTGTAATATTTATGATTGATTGGCATGACAAACCTTTACAGACAAAGACTCATCAGTTTTAACATGATACACTAGTATGCAGTCTATGAATATTTTTAGTCTTGTGATTTAAGTTTAACTCAAAATGTGTGACCGTTAGAGTTCCAAAATTACTGTTACAATGTACATGATATTGGTCCTCACAAGCCTTTGTTACTTGTTTTAACATGTTCAGTGTTTTACTTTTTCCGCAGGCTAAACCTTACCTAGAAAAGGCAATGAAGATGGACCCAAACTTCCTTGAACCTGTATATATCATGGCAGACATTCTTACACGTGAACACCAGTATGATAAAGGCATAGAATTGTAAGTGTGAGACAATAAAGGATTGGTAGGAGTGGGAAAGGAGCCGAATGGTGATATACAAGGGCCTTCAATAACTAAAAATAGAAATAGCTGTAATATGCTTAGTTAGTGTATGGCTAGTGCTGTAACTAGGCCAAAGCGTCATCTTCAAAATTATGGTTTAAAATCAGGTCAGATTGTATAGACAACCCCCCTCTCCCCTCCTCCTCCCCTTCCCTGTAACCCCACTCTCCATCGCTTCATGCTTTTCAGAGTGGATCCTGAGTCCTAAACACTGTAAATACAGGACAAGAGTGGATCCTGAGTCCTAAACACTGTAAATACAGGACATGGGTAGATCCTGAGTTCTAAAAAATGTAAATACAGGACAAGGAAGGATACTGAGTCCTAAACACTGTAAATACAAGACAAGGGTGGATTCTGAGTCCTAAACACTGTAAAAACAGGACAAGGGTGGATCCTGAGTTCTAAACACTGTAAAAACAGGACAAGGGTGGATACTGAGTCCTAAACACTGTAAAAACAGGACAAGGGTGGATCCTGAGTCCTAAACACTGTAAATACAGGACAAGGGTAGATACTGAGTTCTAAACACTGTAACTACAAGACAAGGGTGGATCCTGAGTCCTAGACACTGCAAATACAGGACAAGGGTAGATACTGAGTTCTAGACACTGTAAATACAAGACAAGGGTGGATCCTGAGTTCTAGACACTGTAAATACAAGACAAGGGTGGATACTGAGGACTAGACACTTTAAATACAAGACAAGGGTGGATCCTGAGTTCTAGACACTGTAAATACAAGACAAGGGTGGATACTGAGTTCTAGACACTGTAAATACAAGACAAGGGTGGATACTGAGAATTAGACACTAAATACAAGACAAGGGTAGTTACTGAGTTCTAGACACTAAATACAAGACAAGGGTAGATCCTGAGATCTAGACACTGTAAATACAAGACAAGGGTGGATGCTGAGTTCTAGACACTGTAAATAAAAGACAAGGGTGGATACTGAGAATTAGACACTAAATACAAGACAATGGCAGATACTGAGTTCTAGACACTGTTAATACAAGACAAGTGTAAATCCTGACTTCTAGACACTGTATATAAAAGACAAGGGTTTATTCTGAGTTCTATAAATGTTCAGTCTAATACATTGGTGGTTAAATAGTTCTTGGTAAATATAAGTAAATATAAAGCTGTAGGGAGTCGGGACTGTAGAAGTAATATCGTGATTGATCCTTGTGATTTCTGTGATGATTCTACATAATTTAGCTCACTACTGCTGGCAGGCATGAAAGGACTAGCATAGCTAGCTGATAGATAAAAAAAGAGGGAAAGAAAGCGTATTAATGCAGTTTTCAACAAACTATGAGGTTGGAGTGAGATAGATGTATTCAGTCATTATGTGTTATTATAGGGGATATGGAAGAATTTAGACTCAGATAGTTGGCCTTTGTTTGGAAGCAAATTAAGAAATTCCTTGCCCTATATACATACATAATGGCACACTCTTCAAAAAAAGTAAAAATACACAGGCAAAATTATTGTTTTTCATCTTTCAGACTGAGGAAACAGCTGCAAACCCAGAGTACATGTCGACTTCATAGGACATTGGGTGACTTTCTGGGCCTCACTAATGAACACTTGGAGGCTATTGACCAGTACAGCATAGCACTCAGGTTAATTAATTATTATATATAATAGATTATATTACATTAACCATTAGCAATTTACTTACCGTGAGACGGCCCCAACATTAAAATCCCTAGCAACTGATAAACTACATGAAAATTAAGTTGTATATGATTGATTTAAAATACATAAAAATTTTCACCGAAGTTGATTATTTCCTACCTTTAATATTTTTGTTTACTTTAACTGCAGTTAAAACATATTTTTAATTCTACTTTCCTTGTTTGGTGTGTTGATAAATATGAAAATGATTTAAAGGAGAAAAAATCAAATCAAGACTGCTATCGAACCACTCTATCTAAAAGAGTCTTTACAAATCTGCTCTAATGATATATATTTCTGAAGTACATATGCGAGAGATGGTATTGAGAAAAGGTGGCTTCAAGTTCAATGATTATTTTCATATGTATAATTTGTATTACCTGAAACTGATTAACATTAATTTGTTTCACTGACAGTCTGGACCCCACCAACAGTCGAGCGCGTGAGGGGATGGAGAGAGTGGAGAAACAAAGTGACATGGGACTGATGGGCCTCAGTTTAGAAAATTCTTACGATGTTGATGATATAGAAGGAAGCGATAATGATGTAAGTAGAATCAGTAGTGAAGCAACAAGGTCTGTTCCCTATCGTAAGGCTGCGAGATTTAGGTGAAACAGACAGTTTTAAACTGAGCTCTGTCCTTTATGGGAACTTAACGTTTGGTAAGTGATTCCCTACTGTGCTCAAGGTAAGGTTACTGAATAATAATGGAGATGTTGTAATGTGTATCTATTGAGTTATCTCCCTTTTTCATCAGGAATTATTCAAACCTGATACAATTTGACTTTTTGTCAAGTGTATGAAAATTTGAAAACTACCAGATATTTGTTGTCATTTTAGTAAAATAGAGTTGAAATAATATAAGGTTTTATGATTTTTTGTCACTAAGACAAGTTTTTATGTTGCAGGGAGATTTTGATAACAGTAACAGTGACGTGGAAAGTACCTGGTCGGAGACAGAATATACCTAACCCTCGTTTGATGTATAATGTGTATTGAAGTATACGATGACAAAAAATTTATTAATTGTCTACAGGGACATGACTGAGTATTCTAGGTCTGATACAGATCACATTAGATACTCTGCTAATTTACAGGAGGACAATATGACACTAAGATAACCATGATCCGTATTGAGTTCAAACCAGTCTCAATACAGGACTCTTAGACGAGTGCTATGTTATATAAAGATCCCAATCCAATTTTTGTGTTCGGTGATCAACATGATGATGAACAAATCTATCATTATGTCACTTCAACTACTTTGAAAAACTTGGTAGATATAATCTAGTGTCTGCATATTGTTTGTTAATTATGTTACGTCATTTGCTTTAGTTCGATCTTGATAAGGTGTGTTTCTCACCGAGTTAATATAACTGCATTGTGTAAACTCAAGTGTTAAATTCAATGCTAAATTTCTTCCCAGGGGAATTAACTCAGAAATCTTATAAAGTTATGCATCATCTTCCTTATAGTTCAGTAAATTTTTCAAAAATCAATGCGAGTTAGAAATAACACTCTTTTGGTGTGTACCGGAGACATTGTTATCTTTTCAATAAGTTAGGGATGATTGTTCCTAATATAATGTTTGGAACTGAATCTACACAGAGATACATTACCTGATTGTTTTGTACTATGTAATTGATTTTCTATTAAAGTTTCATGCTTTCTGGATCAAATTTTGAAATACACACAAACATGTCTTTTTGATAGCTCTCTTCGTTGTTTTGATGATTTTGAACACAATATTCTATAACTTGATGTCAGCTGAGAACTTTATTCCAAACCCATAGCAATCAGGTTTTGTTTGGTATTTTTTCACAGAGAGCTCTGCATGATTTTTTTTTTTTTTTTTTTTCCTTTTTTTTTTTTACAAAATGTCAGTCCTGGAGACAAATGGAATAGACTTTATCAAGTTCATTGGTAAATGACTTCTCTCTGGTCAAATGCCAGGGACCATCGGTATGAACTATGATACTGCTAGATCCTATCTTGTGTTATACATGGTATACATTGAATATTAATGTGCATGTTACATGTTTCTTTTTGTACAATATCTCATTTATTTAATAAAATTGTTGATATAAATCCTGCATAGTAATTTTTGATTGTATAATATTTCAGACTGTTCCAAATACAGAAATAGGCTGAGTTTCAAAGTCACAGGGGTCATCTATGTTAAAATGTTCAAATGACTTTTTGTGGTTTGCTTTTTCTACAAGCAATATTTCTATGTAGGCTGTAGTGTAGTTGAGCAATTTCTTTTAGGCATGTCACCCTCATTTTGTCTGCTTGGAAAAGTATTTAATTAAGTTGGTATTCAGATAAGAAAAATGTCTTTTAAATGTTGATATCACAGCAACCAAATGTAATGATTTACTTACACTAAATGAAATTTACATGTCATTTTTTATTTACATATATTATACTTGCTATTTTCCATCTACCATTCCAATATTGTAACATGTTTCAAGAAAATGTTTTCCATGCCTTAAGTACAGAAAGTTTTTTCATAACATATTTCTATCAAATGAAATGCAAAGGAAATCCAATTCTAACCACAAGCAATTTACTTAGTGTGAGGGGACCCCGACATCAGAATCTGTAGCTACTGATAAACTATCGTAAGTGTTCCAGGATCTGTAACTACTGATAGACTATGGTTAGTGTGAGAGAATCTGTAGCTCCTGATAAACTATGGTTAGTGTGGGAGGATCAGTAGCTACTGATAAACTATGGTTAGTGTGAGAGAATCTGTAGCTGGTGATAAACTAAGGTTAGTGTGAGAGGATCAGTAGCTACTGATAAACTATGGTTAGTGTGAGAGAATCTGTAGCTGGTGATAAACTGCTGATAAACTATGGTTAGTGTGAGAGAATGTGTAGCTGGTGATAAACTATGGTTAGTGTTAGAGAATCTGTAGCTACTGATAAATTATGGTTAGTGTTAGAGAATCTGTAGCAACTGGTAAACTGTGGTAAGTGTGAGAGGACCCCGACATCAGAATCTGTAGCTACAGATAAACTATGGTTAGTGTGAGAGAATCTGTAGCTACTATTCAACTATGGTTAGTGTGAATGAATCTGTAGCTACTGATAAACTATGGTTAGTGTGAGAGGACCCCGACATCAGAATCTGTAGCTACTGATAAACTATGGTTAGTGTGAGAGGACCCAACATCAGAATCTGTAGCTATTGATAAACTATAGTAAGTGTGAGAGGACCCCGACATCAGAATATATAGCTACTGATAAACTGTGGTTAGTGTGAGAGGACCCCGACATCAGAATCTGTAGCTACTGATAAACTATGGTTAGTGTGAGAGAATCTGTAGCTACTGATAAACTATCATAAAGTGTTCGAGGATCTGTAACTACTGATAAACTATGGTTAGTGTGAGAGAATCTGTAGCTGCTGATAAACTGGTTAGTGTGGGAGGATCAGTAGCTACTGATAAACTATGGTTAGTGTGAGAGAATCTGTAGCTGGTGATAAACTATGGTTAGTGTTCGAGGATCTGTAGCTACTGCTAAACTATGGTTAGTGTGAGAGGACCCCGACATCAGAATCTGTAGCTACTGATAAACTATGGTTAGTGTGAGAGGACCCGACATCAGAATCTGTAGCTACTGATAAACTATCGTAAGTGTTCGAGGATCTGTAACTACTGATAAACTATGGTTAGTGTGAGAGAATCTGTAGCTGCAGATAAACTATGGTTAGTGTGGGAGGATCAGTAGCTGCTAAAAAAAACTATGGTTAGTTTGAGAGAATCTGTAGCTGGTGATAAACTATGGTTAGTGTGAGAGAATCTGTAGCTGCTGATAAACTATGGTTAGTGTGAGAGAATCTGTAGCTGCTGATAAACTGGTTAGTGTGGGAGGATCAGTAGCTACTGATAAACTATGGTTAGTGTGAGAGAATGTGTAGCTGTTGATAAACTATGGTTAGTGTGAGAGAATCTGTAGCTACTGATAAACTATGGTTAGTGTGAGAGGACCCCGACATCAGAATCTGTAGCTACTGATAAACTATGGTTAGTGTGAGAGAATCTGTAGCTACTGATAAACTATGGTTAGAGGATCCCGACATAAGATTCTGTAGCTACTGGTAAACTATGGTTAGTGTGAGAGAATCTGTAGCTACTGATAAACTATGGTTAGTGTGAGAGGACCCCGACATCAGAATCTGTACCTACTGATAAACCTTGGTTAGTGTGAGAGAATCTGAAGCTACTGATAAACTATGGTTAGTGTGAGAGAATCTGTAGCTACTGATAAACTTTGGTTAGTGTTGGAGAATCTGTAGCTACTGATAAACTATGGTTAGTGTGAGAGGACCCCGACATCAGAATCTGTACCTACTGATAAACTATGGTTAGTGTGAGAGAATCTGAAGCTACTGATAAACTATGGTTAGTGTAAGAGCATCTGTAGCTACTGATAAACTATGGTTAGTGTGAGAGAATCTGTAGCTGCTGATAAACTATGGTTAGTGTGGGAGGATTAGTAGCTACTGATAAACTATGGTTAGTGTGATAGAATCTGTAGCTGGTGATAAACTATGGTTAGTGTGAGAGGATCTGTAGCTACTGATAAACTATGGTTAGTGTGAGAGAATCTGTAGCTACTGATAAACAGTGGTAAGTGTGAGAGGACCCCGACATCAGAATCTGTAGCTACAGATAAACTATGGTTAGTGTGAGAGAATCTGTAGCTACTATTCAACTATGGTTAGTGCGAGAGAATCTTTAGCTACTGATAAACTATGGTTAGTGTGAATGAATCTGTAGCTACTGATAAACTATGGTTAGTGTGAGAGAATCTGAGCAACTGATAAACTATGGTTAGTGTGAGAATCTGTAGCTATTGATGAACTTTAGTAAGTGTGAGAGGACCCCGACAACAGAATATATAGCTACTGATAAACTATCGTAAGTGTTCGAGGATCTGTAACTACTGATAAACTATGGTTAGTGTGAGAGAATCTGTAGCTGCTGATAAACTATGGTTAGTGTGGGAGGATCAGTAGCTACTGATAAACTATGGTTAGTGTGAGAGAATCTGTAGCTGGTGATAAACTATGGTTAGTGTGAGAGAATCTGTAGCTACTGATAAACTATGGTTAGTGTGAGAGAATCTGTAGCTACTGATAAACTATGGTTAGTGTGAGAGAATCTGTAGCTGCTGATAAACTATGGTTAGTGTGAGAGAATCTGTAGCTACTGATAAACTATGGTTAGTGTGAGAGGATCAGTAGCTACTGATAAACTATGGTTAGTGTGAGAGAATCTGTAGCTGGTGATAAACTATGGTTAGTGTGAGAGAATCTGTAGCAACTGATAAACTGTGGTAAGTGTGAGAGGACCCCGACATCAGAATATGTAGCTACAGATAAGCTATCGTAAGTGTTCGAGGATCTGTAACTACTGATAAACTATGGTTAGTGTGAGAGAATCTGTAGCTACTGATAAACTATGGTTAGTGTGAGAGAATCTGTAGCTGCTGATAAACTATGGTTAGTGTGAGAGAATCTGTAGCTGCTGATAAACTATGGTTAGTGTAAGAGCATCTGTAGCTACTGATAAACTATGGTTAGTGTGAGAGAATCTGTAGCTGTTGATAAACTATGGTTAGTGTGAGAGAATCTGTAGCTACTGATAAATTATGGTTAGTGTGAGAGGACCCCGACATCAGAATCTGTAGCTACTGATAAACTATGGTTAGTGTGAGAGGGCCCCGACATCAGAATCTGTAGCTACTGATAAACTATGGTTAGTGTGAGAGAATCTGTAGCTACTGATAAATTATGGTTAGTGTTAGAGAATCTGTAGCAACTGATAAACTGTGGTAAGTGTGAGAGAATCTGTAGTACTGATAAACTATGGTTAGTGTGAGAGGATCAGTAGCTACTGATAAACTATGGTTAGTGTGAGAGAATCTGTAGCTGCTGATAAACTATGGTTAGTGTGAGAGAATCTGTAGCTACTGATAAACTATGGTTAGTGTGAGAGAATCTGTAGCTGCTGATAAACTATGGTTAGTGTGAAGCTACTGATAAACTATGGTTAGTGTTAGAGAATCTGTAGCTACTGACACTCTATGGTTAGTGTGAGAGAATCTGTAGCTGGTGATAAACTATGGTTAGTGTGAGAGGATCAGTAGCTACTGATAAACTATGGTTAGTGTGAGAGGATCAGTAGCTACTGATAAACTATGGTTAGTGTGAGAGGATCAGTAGCTACTGATAAACTATGGTTAGTGTGAGAGAATCTGTAGCTGCTGATAAACTATGGTTAGTGTGAGAGAATCTGTACCTACAGATAAACTATGGTTAGTGTGAGAGAATCTGTAGCTGCTGATAAACTATGGTTAGTGTGAGAGAATCTGTAGCTGCTGATAAACTGTGGTAAGTGTGAGAGGACCCCGACATCAGAATCTGTAGCTACAGATAAGCTATCGTAAGTGTTCGAGGATCTGTAACTACTGATAAACTATGGTTAGTGTGAGATAATCTGTAGCTGCTGATAAACTATGGTTAGTGTGGGAGGATCAGTAGCTGCTGGTAAACTATGGTTAGTTTGAGAGAATCTGTAGCTACTGATAAACTATGGTTAGTGTGAGAGAATCTGTAGCTGCTGATAAACTATGGTTAGTGTGAGAGAATCTGTAGCTACTGATAAACTATGGTTAGTGTGAGAGAATCTGTAGCTGTTGATAAACTATGGTTAGTGTGAGAGAATCTGTAGCTACTGATAAACTATGGTTAGTGTGAGAGAATCTGTAGCTGTTGATAAACTATGGTTAGTGTGAGAGAATCTGTAGCTACTGATAAACTATGGTTAGTGTGAGAGGACCCCGACATCAGAATCTGTACCTACAGATAAACTATGGTTAGTGTGAGAGAATCTGTAGCTGCTGATAAACTATGGTTAGTGTGAGAGAATCTGTAGCTACTGATAAACTATGGTTAGTGTGAGAGAATCTGTAGCTGCTGATAAACTATGGTTAGTGTGAGAGAATCTGTAGCTACTGATAAACTATGGTTAGTGTGAGAGAATCTGTAGCTACTGATAAACTATGGTTAGTGTGAGAGAATCTGTAGCTACTGATAAACTATGGTTAGTGTGAGAGAATCTGTAGCTGTTGATAAACTATGGTTAGTGTGAGAGAATCTGTAGCTACTGATAAACTATGGTTAGTGTGAGAGGACCCCGACATCAGAATCTGTACCTACAGATAAACTATGGTTAGTGTGAGAGAATCTGTAGCTGCTGATAAACTATGGTTAGTGTGAGAGAATCTGTAGCTGCTGATAAACTATGGTTCGTGTGAGAGAATCTGTAGCAACTGATAAACTGGTTAGTGTGAGAGAATCTGTAGCTACTGATAAACTATGGTTGGTGTGAGAGAATCTGTAGCAACTGATAAACCGTGGTTAGTGTGAGAGAATCTTTAGCTACTGATAAACTATGGTTAGTGTGAGAGAATCTGTAGCAACTGATAAACTGTGGTTAGTGTGAGAGAATATATAGCTACTGATAAACTGTGGTTAGTGTGAGAGGACCCCGACATCAGAATCTGTAGCTACAGATAAACAAACTATGGTTAGTGTGAGAGAATCTGTAGCAGCTGATAAACTGTGGTTAGTGTGAGAGAATATATAGCTACTGTTAAACTGTGGTTAGTGTGAGAGGACCCCGACATCAGAATCTGTAGCTACAGATAAACAAACTATGGTTAGTGTGAGAGAATCTGTAGCAACTGATAAACTATGGTTAGAGGATCCCGACAAAAGATTCTGTAGCTACTGGTAAACTGTGGTTAGTGTGAGAGGATCTGTAAATACTGATAAACTATGGTTAGTGTGAGAGAATCTGTATCTACTGATAAACTATGCTTAGTGTGAGATAATCTGAAGCTGCTGATAAAATATGGTTAGTGTTAAAGAATCTGTAGCTACTGATAAACTATGGTTAGTGTGAGAGGACCCCGACATCAGAATCTGTAGCTACTGATATACTATGGTTAGTGTGAAAGGATCCCGATATCAGAATATATTGCTACTGTTAGTGTAGTTAGTGTGAGAGGTTTCCAACATTAAATTATTTAGCTGCCTTTTAACTGTGATTAACATGAAAGAATCTCAGTGACGGAATGTGCTAAAACATCTGTTTCCCATGTAAAAGTACAAGAAGAATAAGACCTGGTCCTCTTGAAGGGTAGGTATTCTCATAGACGACACCTTTATAGATTTACCACATAACATATCTCCTTTGTACTTAACCATAGCGAGTACTATTGCTATAATTATCCCTTGTACAAGCATTTGTATAATGTCTCGTATTTCCTTTTGTCGATGATACTTACCTGAGGATAAAGTGACTTGTGAGTTTTCATTGGCTATACACAAACACGGAGAGTTCCGAATAGTAAATCTATTTATACTGAAACAGAAGATAGCTGTGCATATATACGTTAATACGGGGCAAAAACAATCGTTTCTTTCAACTAAATTTGACAGGAAAGCATGTGTTAAGTACAACAAAATGTTCTATTTCTCCAGTGTGAAATGACTGTCATATGCGTTGAAATGCTTTGCAAATGCGCCAAAACGAGAGTCTTTCATAATTGCGGCAAAACATTTCAGTCTATATACTGAGACAGCCCATGAACATACACTGTCTACTGTATATATGTACTAAATATATATAAAATTAAACAAGTCAGGAGCTAAACCATTTTTACATCTTATACAATTATTGTAATTTCTTTCTTCCCCTTCCAACTGAAAGCGCTTGAAGACTTGTTTCAGAATTGTTACTAGCATAAGTTGGTAAATCTCTAATATGCCAGCCGGATGCTGAGGGCTTTTTCCAATAAATTAGAGCCATCCACACCACACCGTCCTATAGTTCATTAGCATATTCTAACACTGGTAAAATAAAAGTATCATATTTAACAATGTATAACGTTTGAGCATATATTTCAAATTTCTTAAAGCACTGATCTTTTTTCATAACTGAAATGTAAATAGTTTCAATGTAGTTATCCCATTTGTCTTTAGCATTGTATGTTGGTTTATAATATTAGATCCTATAGGGCAATGTGGCAGAGAAGTAAGGTTTATCATTCAATAGTTCAATAATATTACACAGGGTATACATACAATATATTTGGCATGGGAAGTCGCTTATCATCAGGAAAAAACATATTAATTGACGAACTCTTCAATTAGTGACATTTAAAATGTATTTTTCTTAAACTTTTGGAATAAAATATTTGTAAATGCGATTCGAATAACTATAAAAAAAATCAACGCAGAGAATATTTAATCAACCCTTGTAAATGTAAAGTTGCTTTCTGCATGAAGCAGACTGTATCGACACGTGCCGCCGAAAGGAACTCCATCTATTATGTTTCTGTATTGATAATAATGTAAATTGGTTTTAAGATGTCCCGGAATAAACTTTTTAGTCAACAGTATTTAAAAAGAACTTTAAATCATTCGCATACATAACGATACAAGAAGTCTCTACAAGCCAAGCTCATGTATTGTTAAACCATCGGTGAAAAGGAACTTTCCGTGAGCTCTTTGTTGAAATTTAAATGGGCTCTCAATTGAAATAGGAACTTCACTGGGTATAGAATAATACCTAGATAGTTTGTATAAATAGAATACTGTATACAATAGGGGTATGTGCTAGAGGTACTAGGAATAATGTTAAACTACACTGTCACTAGTTTGTTACCTTATAATGGACTTCCACGCTACCTTACTTGATGTATCGCCGTTATAGAATATTGCTACGTTCAACTTCTTCCAGTATGTGAAGGTAAGTATATATTAGACAGTTAACGATTTCTTATATAAAGTGGGTTTATGTAAATGATATTCTGAAATCCAAAATGTATGAAATTTATAAATGAAGGCACACGGTCTGTACAGACAGTGTTGAAGATCTGCGTATGTGAAAATGTAAATCAATTATTCTTTTTCGTTATTCAAGAATTCCATAGTCAAGTTATGCTAATCAAGGAGCAATGCTTCTCGTGTATGTCATGAAAATTTTAAGAATATTCTGTATATTTTCCTTTGACACATTGTATACATTATCTCGTATAATATATACAGATGTGTTTAATACTGGATTCACATTAATCCATGAATCAATGCCAACTTTACTTGTAAAATCCATTTATTAAGTTGTAATAGATATAAAATCTATATTGTTCTATGAACTGTGTTTCTTTTCCTCGCCTACAAGGTAGCGACACCCCTTACCAAGGATGACAGTCCTCGGCAATCCTATTTCAGCGGTCGTAGGGGCCTGTGCTTACATCTGTATGTATAGTATTGTACAAGGAATGGATCTAAGAGTTATCGGACTTGTTGACTCTGGTATACTACACGGAGAACATGTAGACTCCTATGTTGCGGAAGTGAATTCTTACCTTCAGAAACAAATGATTGATGTGTCGGAAAGGAATATGTCTTTGACCGTGGAGACCTTGGCGGTAAATGACACCGTTGATGCTCTGGATGATTTGCTTCTCCGGATAGAGAATACGTCGAATATTTTGGGTAGGTGTATATGCAATACAAGAGGCCCATTGGGCCTGATTATATGAGGAAAAGACAAGAAATTGATACTGGTAGTTGAAACATTTTCTTATAACTTAGACTTAGCTGGAGCGGCGATTAATTGTAATATTTTCTCATTATTTTTACGAGTTGTCAAGACTGTTTGACTGGACATTTTCAAGTCATAAGTTCAAGTTTTCATCAGCAGAAACTGTTGGTTTGTGAAATACATTTTCTTTTTGTTTTCTTTTCTACTTATTTTTAATGACGGTGAAATTATATTTCAAATCGATTTCCATAAACCCAACATTTCCAAAATTTAGAGCAGAAATTAATCAATTTTTGTGTATATACCGCCTTATATTTTATTTTTAGAAAAGTACCACAAGTATATGAAGAGAGTCTTTAATATGGTACAAAAGATGCACAAGTGAATAGCACCTTTTCATAATAAAGAGTGAGATACAGTAGAGCTAAACAATGAATTTAACTGTATCAAGGCATGTAACCCAACAATGTTAATACAGATAAAGGAACGAATCTGTCAAAACGTAGGTACAAGTTGTTGTATTAACGATTTGCATGCCTTGAATAAACGTGTATTATATTTATAGTTTAAGTCAAGTTATCTTTCAACAGCAATATTCTCTGACCTGGGGGATGGTTCGTCATTGAAAGACAAATTGTCGGATCACCTATCCAAGGAAGGAATTCCTCTCCTGGAAATGTACCCGGATGTACAACGTATTACAAAGTAAGAGCTAACTAATTCTATATACATTTTATGTTCTGATTTCTACATCTTTAATATAATCAACACATTCAATTACTGCAATGACAGGTACCTTACTTTTGTGTCAGATCTAACTCTAATAAGTACACATTGTATGTTCTGATTTCTCCATCGTTAATATAATCAACACAGTTAATTATTGCAATGACAGGTACCCTACTTTAGTGTCTGTGACGATGCTAGTTAATGACGTCACGTCCACCATGGTACGGCTTTTGACCTATCTACGTTGGAGTTACGTGCAGGCCGTTTTCCAGGATACCTCTTACTTCTCGAATGTCCTAGAACACGTGAAAACAGAGGCTGGACATTCAAACATATGTATACTCAAGTCATTCGTCATCAGTCATGACGTCACGACAACAAAGATTTTGGACACTATACAGTTTCTGGAAAGAGAATACAACACCAGTGGCGTCCTGTTGCTGATGGACAACGTGCTGACTAAGTATGACAATCTGTGGATAAATTAAAAGTTATATTCATCGTCATTCGTATCTCATCAAAATATTGATAATTAAATCTCCATATATGGTACATACACTATTTTTTTCTGTCTTTATTTTACTTATTTTAATTTATCTATTTCCATTTTTTGTTTGTTTTTTTTTCAGCTTTTAATAAGCTGCTGGCAGATTCTGAATTGCTCATTTCATTGATTCTCCTCAAAAGTCTAGCCAAAGCTGAAAACATACATCATTTTAACTACTATTGAGAACCTGCTATATCATCGTATCATCTTAATTTAATATCGATAATCCCATAATTCCCATACATTTGTAACATGGAGGAAATTATTATCTATTTTAAAGGTAGATTAAACAACTTCTGTACCCTTTTGCAGACGATTCATTGAAACCGTGAAGAAACATGGCAGTTCGACGCTCTTCCATTTCATCACCATTGGTAGCTTAGATGACACTAGCGTATCTCCGCCGCTAGGTGAGTCACAGTAACGATATTGTTAGTCCCAATGATAAGTTTGTGTTACGATGGTATTATTTGATTATTTCCATGGCAACGACAACAACATGAACATACCCCAAAGAGAAATATTATCTTTGTGTTCCATCATAATGGAAACTATTTTCTATGTAAATCTGACATTACTTTAATTGTGATGATGATAGATTTGTCTATAAAGCAGACCAGAAAACGCCAGATAGTTACATTAGTGTAGTATGTTGTTTGAGCTATTTTCAGTCTATTTCTCCTTTGTTTACAGGCACCTTGGCGATCAGCAGAGAATGGACTCACACTAAAGTACCAGGATATGGTCAGTACATGATATCATACGGTATAGGGAATACCATTATCTTGTCACAGATACCAAGGCAGCATATTCACAGTTACCATGGCAACATATGTCACAGTTACCAAGGAAGCATGGTCACAGTTACCAAGGCAATATATGTCACAGTTACCAAGGCAACATATGTCACAGTTATCAAGGCAACATGTCACAAATACCAAGACAGCATGGTTACAGTTACCAAGGCAACATATGTCACAGTTACCAAGGCAGTATAGTCACAGTTATCATGGCAACATATGTCACAGTTACCAAGACAGCATGGTTACAGTTGCCAAGGCAACATGTCACAGATATTAAAACAGCATGGTCACAGTTACCAAGACAACATATATCACAGTTACATGTTCCAAGACAACAAGAAAATATAGAACAGTCAGAACGATTTAGACTTCAGGATAATATTCCGTATTTCGACATCGAAATCAATATAAAACATATAGATAGATTGACTGTAAAAAAACACACAAATTAACAAATAATTAAACTCAATATCAAGACATTGAATCAAACTAGCGTCATTATCTCTAAACATCGAAGCCGTCAGGTGACCAAATGACCGCCAGTGATCACCCACATCAATTCTGTCTTCTCAACATCTCTCTTACCATGTTTTGATAAATGGAATCGTAACCTGGTCTTAACACTGTCTAATAGAAAATTGTTACTAATCTTAATTTCTGTGTATTGAGTGCATTAATTTTGATGACATGACATCATGATTACTACTTAGGTTGTCTATATCTGGTGAAGTTGATCGTTATATAACCTATGGCGGTATATGATTTATAATATCATATTATCATTTTGATATGCTTATCGTGCAAAACGTTGATAACTGTAGTATTGATATCCACTTCATCATCATCGTTGAGCATAATAAAACGATCATGGTAGTCATGATATTTGCCAAACATCTATATTTATCTGTATTCCCAGGAAACATCTTTTGTATGTTTGGCATATGTTGGAGCAAGGTCCAATATATCTGTATGTACTCGATGTAAAAAACATGGAAGCGCTACGTTGTTATTTTAATACAAAATATCACAAAAAAAACTTTATATTAACAGCGCATTTCATAAACGTTTTTATTTATTTATTTATTTTTTTTTTGTAGTGAGAAATGGCACTTTGGAAAGTACTTCGTTAAAGAAGACTATTCAGGTTTTACTGCATGGAGTGGACGCGGCGATGTCTGATATTTCTCGCTGCCTGACAGGAAATACTAGCGTTATTCCAATGAACTGTATTCGAATGTCTCTGCTAGACGTATTGCGGGAGGATATGGGCAATATATCTGTATACAGCTATCAAGGAAATATCAGCACAATGGCGTGGATCAAAGTAAGGCGGGTTACAAATACATGAACAGTTTTTCTTTTGTTTGCATAGTATTTATAATCAAATATAAATTTATCACATAATTACCTTGTTGATTGTGTAATAACATACAACACATTTCTTGTTTTGTCATTACGCACCTGTTGTATACCTAACAGAACTGTGATGAGCTTCAGGTCTCCTTCCACTGTTTCAATTGTGACAGCAGAGCTTCATGGTGCCATATGCATTATGACGTCTTCAAATATATAGAATGAGAACATCACTATCTTACATTTTGCATATCAGTCTAATTACACTAATAATATGATACATAGAATCATTTACATTTCAAAAGAGATTTTCAAAATTTGCCAAAGTCTCGAAAAATTGGGAATTCTCAGATTCGTCTAATAAATTTCATATAAATGGACAAGAATGTATAAAGATCCCCTATATATAAATTAACATGTCAGTTTATGAAAATAAGCTTAAAGCTTGTTGCCATGTGTAACATTATCTGTACCTGAAGAACACTCCGCTGTGATGCAACTAGTCGCAGTGTAAAACGAAGGATGTGATAGAGTATACGTATCCGCAGATATATCGATTCCCCATTAGTTAGATAGAATAAGGATATAAGTTTATAGGATGATTTGATGCTATCGATAGATCATACATACTTACAGACTTCCTTGCTTCTTTACCTTTTAAAAGCATACACGCATACCTCATTGCTTCTTTTCTTGTCAAGGGCATACACACGTACAGACTTCCTTGCCTTTCTCTTGTCAAAAGCATACATGTTTACAGATTTCCTTGTTTCTTTACTTGTTTAGATCATACATACTTACAAAACTCATTGCTGCTCACTGCCATCATTGTTTCTTTTCTTGTTATAAGTATACATACGTACTGATTTCCTTGCTTCGGGTGGAGTAACTGGTTTAACTCATTGTACAAAAGAAAGAAATGAAGAACGCGTTTTAGTTGAAACCTATAGAATATAGAAAGCAAGAAAACAAAAACAAAATTTAATTATGCATTTTCATATTATATATTTTGTGTTGTAGACCATGACAGCTGCAAACGACGAGTTAAAGGTTATATCTCATATCATTTTCTACGACAAAGACACCACTCCTTTTGATAACCATGTCGTTTCGACCAGTCAGCCATATCGCTGGGAATGTCGACGTAAAAATAGGGTTGATGGTCTGCACGTGTCCGGACATGCAGATGTGTACCTGCTTGCTGTCTTCCCAATGCACGAGCGTGCTAATACACCAAATGGATGTGGTGACCTTGACCCAGATCAGGTCGTTCTAGCAGAAGCAGCTGTCTACGGCATTGACGTCATTAACAATGATATGGCTATTCTTCCTGGTCTGTCTCTAGGATACGTCATGATAGACAGTTGCTCGTTACCTGCCCGTACAATATTCCAACTAGAACAGGTATACAGTGGTAATGCTTGGAACGGAATCAATTTTCATGCCATGTCTCAAATATTTGGAGCAGTTGGTTTCACACGTCATGATGAATATACACCTTTGGCCGGTTATCTCCATAGTAAAGATCTACTTACTATCAGCGCGACAGCGATCGATTCTGATTTAAGTAACAAAGAAGTCTATCCAGATTTTATGAGAATGGTACCAGATCAACGGGAAGAAATAAGCGTCATGTTTCAGGTACTTAAGGCATTTGGCGTGGAACACATTGGCATTGTGTACACAGAGGTCCTCCTTAATGATGCTAGCTCTGTTGTTGTAATGGACACAGCCGCCTCTTTCGATATATCAGTTGTCTATGGGATGCGCATAACGGAGGACATCAGTCAGATTGATTCCTCAATGGATTACTTAGTAGATGAATTCATAGCAAGAAATCTAAACTCAACAAGAGTGTTGGTTACATTCGCAGAAGCTGAGGTGTTATTGCCGTTGTTTCGAGCGATGGAGAGACGAAATGTCGAAAATGTCATGTGGATCGGCGACAACTCATGGTTTATGACTTTACACGACGATGATCTGTTATCATACTCTAATTTGTTACAACAGGCATTCGTGGTAGGCATACCTACATACCCAGTTCCTTCATTCAATGAACATCTGACACGGATGCAGAAAAACAACTTTACGTCCGACACGTACACAGACGAACTTTTCAAACTCATAGACAAATGTAGCAACTACACTAAGGATGAAGTGACTTATAATATTTGTGATAGGATACATTCTGATATATTTAGCCACAACGATGCTTATTTAGTAATTGATTCAGTTGAAGCACTGGCAAGGAGTCTGGATGAGGTGATTCATCAAACATGCCCTTTAGGAGATTTCTGTCAAGACGCTAGGAATAATTTAGCAAATCGGCTTCAGGAAAATATTTTCCAAAACGAGTTTCTTGGTTCAATTGGGAAGAACATTCGTTTTGACAGCAAAGGAAATGGTCCAGCATCATTCGGAATTTATCAAGTTATCTTTGATCAGGAGCTAAAAATCAACAAATACCAGAAGGTAACGCCGTGAACATTTCAGATATCAAGATATTCGAAGTGAAATTTACCGACACATATAAGTCGATTTGTGGTATTTTGTATATTAACTCGAATAATAACAGGAATGTTAACTTAGTAAGAATCTTTTGACATATGTTAACCAAGAAATGTTGCGCAGAATATTACCTATGTATTTATATATTTTAGGATATATCATAATGAAAAATACGGTAAGAAAATCGCGAATTGATAAAACTTGTGAGAGATATAATGATAGAGGAAAATAGTATGGAAACGCTTTCAGATTTTTATTAACGTTATCATATGATTGCACATGATTTTGTTTCATTCCTCCAGGTTGGTTCCTTTGAAGACGGGTCACTCAGCGTGACTAGGGATCTTTCCATTTCGCCGATTATGAAAATATCAGATTGTGATTCTAATCCATGCGCACATGTGCCGCCCGAGATATTTGGTAGACCGTACATCTATATGGACGGTGATCCAATGTTATACGGTTTTGTTAAATTGTACAAGTACAAGGGTGACGACTGTTCAGACGAAGTGAACAGCAATGGATATCAAGCAATGAAAACAATGATATGGGGAGTAACTGCAATCAATAACAGTACCGCTTTACTACCCAATGTGACACTTGGTCTAGCAGTTTTTCCTACTTGTGGTATCCCCACAAAGACGAAAAATATTGTACAAAGCGCCCTAAAGCCAAATTTAGTTCTGTCATCAAGAGGCCTACCTCCAAATGCCACTATTCTTGGTATCGTCGGAGGTGAAAATATTGGGGATGCTATTTCTATGGAAACTGCAACACGAACAATAGATGAAGATATTCCAGTTGTAAGTGTATTCTATATCTATATTTGTATTTATAACACTGGAGTTGCCACAGATTACATATTTACGGGAAGTAACTCTTCATAAATGCATTATTTAATACTAATTGGCAATCTTTAACACGCTAACACAATAAGTTCATACACACGAAATAGGTATTTAGTCTTCAATTTCTGATTTGAAATAATTTGTTATTTTCCAGATTATCTCCTCTCGTGCCGATATTGACGACAATCGAGAACACCCACGCTTGTTCATGACAATGCCTTCTCCATTTGAGGAAATGGACTATATTGTTGAACTATGTTTGCAACTAAAATGGACTTATATCCATGTCATATCCGATCCGTTCATGGACAGTGTATTGAAGTACTTTGCAGATTTATCCGAAGTAAATGGCATATGTATAGCTAGTAGAAATGTTTTAGACATTTCTGCTTCAACCGAGATTACACGTTCTACCTTAATCAACATGACAGAGATAGAGGGCGCCACTGCAGTAATATTACTTGCATCTTCAAACACCATCAAACGCGTTCTAACGGTATCGCGCGAGTTAAACCTATCAGGACGCCTGTTCTTCGTTCTTCCTTTCGAAATATATAACTTGGAGCACCATCTGTCTGAAAATGACATAGGTAGGAATGAAACATTTTATTCATCCTTATTCAGAGTCTCAAACGTAGTACAAAGTATCTGCTATGTTTTACTGTAAACGCAGGAATAGTCTAGTTTTCCGTGATGTAAAAAATTACAAATTACACTATTATCAAATTTACCCCAAAATGAGAATGTTGACATTACTTTGGGGATGATATTGAAAACGGTTTTTTCATTTTATTACAGTAGTAAAAATGTACATGTGGCTTTAAAAAATATCTTTTATTCTCTAGGTGTGCTTTCCACCCGACAGGATATTCAAATAAATGAACAGTTCATGAACTACTTTTTAGGCCTTAACATCAAGGACAAAGCTAATGATCCCTGGTTTGCAGATTTCTGGCAGCAAGCGAACGGCTGTAATTTGCATTTTTCTACAACCTATGATGTAGACTGCTCGTATTCAGAAAGCCTGTTAACAAGTAATGTGCATGCCAGCCCGTCTACCAACGGGATCTTGGATTCTGTCTTCGCCTTAGGCCATGCACTTCACGGTCTACTAGAAGATTGCAAGACGAATATTCAAGATTGCACCAAAGAAAATCGGACAAAATTCTACAATAATATAAACCGTCATCTCATTGCAGTTAACTTTACCTCGCCTGGAGGAACACCATTTAAATTCAGGGATAAAACTACCGTCTTCAAAGCTTTGATAGTGACAAACGTCCAAAAGAGTCCTGAAGGAGGAATCCGTTTAGTGGATGTACGTATATGTGTTCAGATTTCTATTTTTTGCTACTAATATTCTGAAACACATATTCAGAATGCGATGTCCATTTATGAACATGTTTATCTCTCTTTTTCCAAATGTTATTTCCTTACGAAATATTTATCGCCAAGAAGCTAAATTTTGATAACTGTATTTTTTGTTTGCTGCTTTTTTTTCACATGCCATGAAATCAAGTGTTGAACAAATATTTGAATTTACAGGTCGGTACCTTTGTAAACAAAAAGTTGACTCTCGATATGAGGAAGTTGAGTTTCTATAGAAACGGTGTACGTGTCAAACCAGATTCCATATGCCAAGGCGATTGCAGGGATTGCATGGATCCTTATTTTGTGAATGAGTATGACGCCCGCGTGACATCATTGCGATCAGCTGGTCCTATTCTTCAGCACAAAATCTTCACTGCACTTGGCGTTATAGATATTATCTTGGTCTTGATTTCTTTTATGTTTATTGGAATAGCGACTAACATTTTGTGTAAGTTTTACACACATAAAGTATTTAGCCTCTGTGCGGATGCTGATACTGGAATTTTGTTGGGCTGTGTTCTCATGTCCTGTTCTAGCTTCAGCTACCTGTTCACTCAGACCTACCTGATGTGTACTATACAACTCGGTGCCCCAGGTAAGATTATGTTTGACAGATGTAATCTTAAATTGGTATATTGTACATAAACAAATCAATTGAAAACAAATACCGACATATCAGCAACAGAACTCAAGTTCGGCCAAATTAGGCAAAATATAATCAAAAGAAATATTTCCACAAAGACCTCTGAAAAAGTAAAATGAGTAAGGCCATATGTTTTGTAAGGGGGGGGGGGGGGGTGCTTCCTCTACTAATCGACGGCACCTGCCATACAAAATTGATTACTATAAATGTTCTTTATATAGCGCAGTCAAATCTAGCCTATTGCCACTGTTTAGCAAATTAGATTCAACTGCATATACGCAATATATATACAGAAATTGCAAATATGGTAATGTAGCACAGTTCTTCCAGGTTTCTTAAAACCTCTTAAAAGTTATTTGAGAGATAAGAATAAGAAATTACAATAAGCTATTGTCTCACTTTATAGGAATTGAAGTAAAATAATTATGTACCTTTCCTTATTTTCGATTGAATTAGATTTGAGAAGCTGTAAATTCTATTAAATGTGACATAAGCAATGGCCTTGTTTTTCAATGGTCGAATTTGCTGGCCTTTTTGGCATTTTCTTTCAACCAAAAATGTCTTTCTCATCTCTACAGTTTCCCCTTTTCCTGTAGTCAGAAACAGTCTATCATATAACCTTAGTACTTTACCTACCTTCAGATCATCAATTCACAAGGACTAATTGTGTTAAACGAAATGGAAAACTCGATGTGAAGAAATGTGAATTTATATATGTCTACATTGAAATTTAATTCTTTTCGATTATTCAATATTTTGCAGCTCTCTCGTATGTTATTTGCATCGCATCATTCATAGTGAAAATCAACAAGACCGTCTGTTTACGTTCCTACCTTGGCCTACATAAAAGCAAAGTACCGCGTTGGGATTTCGCTATGACGTATATACCGTTTTTGTTGGTTCCCACAATTATTGCATTTAACAATTGGCTGCAGAATGAAGTCGTCAAGATCAATTCGACTGTCCCGGGTATTCGGGAAATATTGAATATTGATGACGTAACCATCACCTGGAGTTGTAGTTTTGATAGGTAAGTCATTTTCCTAATCTTTGAAGAATCATTGTATTCTGAAAATGAATCAGTATTATATATAACTGATCGAACAGGACGTTATTTGATGAATACTGAATTATGTTGAATTATTTAACTGTTGTTAATCCATGGTTATTTGGACTTATGGATTATCCCTTGTCCTGTGATAGTATAAAAACAGTCGTCAAGAACAGTAGGTTCATTGAAGGAAATGTCAGTTTTATGTCCCTAATTCCTTCTACAATAATTTCTTAATGTCAGATATATATATATACTTACTTAAGCTTCTACGGAAAATTATTATTGTGGAAATAGACGAATTTTAACTACAAGAAGAAATGGAATGGAAGCAAGCTTGGTTCTCCATCTATTCCCGACTTATCTGAGTTAAACTTTGGTTACTAATTTTTTATTCTCATTTTCCTTACAGGGGACTTTATTCTGTGTATATGACAACATTTTGGTTCGTGACTATAGAAGTCTTTATTGTCACTCTTTCGTACAAACTTCGATCTAAAAAGGAGCCGGAAGTTAAACAAGTTATGTGGTCTTCTACAATTAGCCTCCTTTTCATCGCTGGGTCTACGGTAGTACTAATGCTGACTGGTGACGTAGAAATTTACGGCATATTGATGTGCTGTATTCTCAACTTCAGTTCAATGGTTTTTGTTTGTGCTAATTTCCTCCCTGTAGTTCTTATATTGATGACAGAGGAACAGCAGGAACATGACTTTTTAAACCTGATGACAAAGGATAGAGTGAACCGCATGGTACAGTTTTGGCGAGATCGAAAATCGGTGAAAGTAGAAATCACAGGTATGGTGCCTTTTCTTGCTTATTTTTCATTTAGATCAGTGTTTTAAGGAGAACCTTATTATTTATTTTTAGGTGTTTTGTTTATTGTTTTTTTTTATCATAAGATATTTTAATAGCATTTGGGAATCACGAGTCTTCTTACTACTCTTATGTCAATAGTCACAGCAATGTCTTGTCATTCGGATACTTATTTCAATAAGATACACCATACATGCTCAGTTTTGTTTTGTTCCCAGATGATTGCAAAAAAGGTTATGCAAAGTCGTTATGGAATCATGGATTAGAGATTAGTCGGAACAGGTCAACAGCCATGGCTGAGGAAGAGGTCTGAGATAAATTTCCCGGTAACTTTCAAATATTTTTAAAAATCATGTGATCATCAGAAATGTGTGATCATTGGTTTCTGATTTTCTTTTATCATGGTTTGAAAATATGTTATCCTTGTGAATGAAAATAGCGTACGCTATGGTTACATGATATATCGTCATTATACCACTCTGTTCTGGAATTCCTCTTGGCACACTTTGTTCATATAACTGACATAATTCATACGGGTTTGTTTAACTTAATTCTATCACTAATCATATCTTACGCACTTTACTCGTGGGGTTCCACTGTTCATGTCTTTGTATAACTTTTTCTCGAAGACCTACAAATTACTAAACAAAATATTATTGCACGTTAAATGCGTGACGTGTACCCCTTAAATTTACAAGACACACACGTGATTGGCAGCTTTTAACACAGATGCAGTATTAAGGTTATATGAAAAAGGTTACGCCTCAAAAGAAAGCAGCTTTATACACAAGACACAAATATCGTAAGGTGTACTTATGCATATATACAGTATATTGTATATGTTACCAGTTGGTTTGAGAATATAGCAAATACACACTAGAAGTCATGCAGTGTTGATAAAAATCTAAAAATATATTTTTTGGACTTTATTGGTTTACTTTTATATCGTATTTTTGTCTGCATTACTGTGTAGTTCTGTTATAAAATGTTTGTGATACGTTTAAATAAGGGAAGTAACTCTCTTATGACAAACATTATACTCATGTTTGATAACAACATCGCAGAAACAGATGTTACTGATTATTCCCCGGCATGAAGATGTCACCAACTATTTATCAGATTGAAGGCAAATGCGAATTCGCATCTGCCCGATCACTTCTCTGGCGGCCGCGAAAATGGAGGGGTATCATGGTACGGCTACATCATGTCCCAATGTATCTAAAGTGAGTCCGCACTAGACTCTATGCGTTCGGTCTGCGAATGTGGCGGCTAGGAGTTTACTCAAGATTTGATAGGCGACGTTGTTTAGACGAATAGAATGGATTGTTCGGTAAGGCGTTTCTTACTGCACGTTGGAGAAAGACCCTCTTTTCCGATGTTATCATCGCGAATAATTCAGATTCGCGTGTGATAAAGAATGGCCCGTTTGGAGGAGAATTAATTACGCTAGATGTAGAGAATACAAAAATATTTCAACTTTCAAATCTGTCATCTGTAGAGATTACGTCCATGCACCGTATGTGGTTCTTTTCGTTTAAAACAGTAGATGCCATTTGTAGTCAGTTCCATAAACAAAGCACCCAACTACCTTATGTATAGTGCTCTGAACTGGGACTAAGAAGAGAGTTATGGGAAGAGTTAATCAATATAAGACTCAACGAATTTCCATTTTAAGTTAACAAGTTTGCATTGGCACTAACTTATGAAATGCTTATTATGGGAATTATCATCTTTGTTAATGCCATGCAAAATGTACATATAGTAACTAAACAGAATGAGAGCATGCTACATTGAGGAGTCATTTGTAAAAGGATCAAAGATTTACTAAAGACATAATGAAATAACACATTTTAGTCTGAGTACGAATTAATGAGGTATAACACAAATCCTCCTTGGTTCTTTTTAAAGGGGTCTCCGGTATATATTACTTTTTTTTCGTCTTTTGCTCTAGTTTTTTTGAATTTGAATTTGGATCTCTCTATCCTTTCGAATCGGGTTGTAGAGGAGTTTGTGTGCTGTTACCTGATCTTGGTATAGCATGCATATTTCCGTGTTCTTATTGCAAAACATGAATATCCAAGTCAAACATTTAATTGATTGTGAAAGTCAAAGACGTGTTGTTGTAGTTGTGACATTTATTTCCATTTTAAGAACGGATAACATAAATATTATATTGTAAAAAATATATATTATAATAAACAAACGCAGTAACTTCTGTATTTGTGTCACATTACATGTGATTCTATTATCACTGATATTACATTTTTTCGTGCATTTTACTTGCATCGTAACAGTCAATCACAGCATTATGCTTTCGTTCTTCATGCGTCACTGATGATGTCAACAGTTCTTCTTATTGCTTCACAGACGTTTCATACCATCGCTGTTAACTACGAAATGGTGCATTTTCAATACGAATCTTCTCAAACACATTTGTTCGTTATCATTTTCCACACTATTCTAAGTGTTCCAATCACACATTCACTTTCACAATTTAAGCCCACTGTATACTTCTCGATAAAATGTTTCTTCTAAAATAATTATACTTTTTTATTAATCAGTTATATTACGAAGATCAAGACAAATTCTATGCAATAGGAAGCCTCTTTTTCCCATGGGATTTTTTTTTTTCAAATTTCGTCGAGAAAACGTTATGTCTCTTTAATGATCAACATTTCAAATTGGGATCGTGTAGTTCCTGCCATATCTTCATGATTTCCTCTCGTGTGTTATCATGACCGACTATGGTGTTTTTGTAGGTGCAACCCGTCGGTGATCTGTGGGAGTATGTAAACCCGTTGTCGTGTGCAGCGACGGCACCTATCTTCCTTCTACACAAACCAGTTATATACACATCTTCCAGCCAGAATAATGGTATTCTCAGCGATGCATGGTAAAGTTTAGAAACAATATCACTGGAAATGACGTAAGCTGTTCCGCTCGTATATGGAGGGTAGACTGCTTCCTTGAACATATGTTGTGGAGTGTACCACTTTGAGGCGGGGTTTTGGATAGGACGAGCGCCATGATTTACAAACCCTATCACACTATTGGTTAAATGTTTATGCTTCAATACACCGATAAGATACGGAACATTTATGAACACATCGTCATCAGCTTTTAAAACATATTTTACCCGACTGCAATATGTCATAGTCCATTTTAGTATCGCCACTGATTTCAATGATAAATTTCTGTAGGAATCGACGAAATCTTCCTGTACAATATCATCGAATTCTGTGTTTTCCTTGTTGATTTTTAATTGAATTGTTTCATTGTTAATCTTGCCTAAAAGAAATATAAGTCTTACTTCCTGATTGTGTTTGGCTATCGATCCCCAAGTGTTTCTTATAACTTCCCTATGTTTAAAGTTAGCCGGGGCAACACATACGGTAATCAATAAAAACACATCTGTCTTATTTCTACTTTTGCATGTGTTATTACCATGAAAAATGTATCGAAAATTATGAGGATTCACTTGAGCTTCCGGAGCACTCGTAGGTGAAACAGAAGGTTTGATTGTACGTGTGGTTGGGAAAGCAACACTGCTTGTAACATCATTCATTGTAGAATGCAAAACAGGACGTATTTGCATATATGGAAGTATAGTTGGGCTGTATAGACGTACACTTCCGTCAAAACTCTCGATATACCACATCATATAGGACATTAATGTGAATGACATTAGAAGTAGGAAAAGGCCATTCCGGTATCGAACTCCAAAGTGATTCCCAACACCTTCGTCCTTCACTGCTTTCATACTAGTTCTATCTGCAAATGATACAAAAGATCTTTGTTAAAAACAGAAATAAAGTAAAATTACTATACACGCCAAAATACAAAACCTCATAGTGGAAGGATTCTTTTTCATTTTACGTCTTCATTAATTACGGGTCACCAAAGGTCACAGGTTATATAAATTAGATAGGTCATCAATATCAATAAACTTGACTTCTCCACTATCACATCACGTATTAAACAGGTTCTATAAAAATATCTCTTGAGCGATATCAGTAGACAATAGCAGAAATGTTATATATATCAATGCAGGTAACAGAAAACTGTTTTTCACTTCAGTGCCCCCCATCCCCTCCGTCACACGTCACATCCTTCAAGAAAATTTATTGGTGATTGTAATGATCAAATGCCTTAGTTCATGATCTTATATTGTTATTCTGTTTCCAAATATTTATACAATCAGAAATGTTTCATTCACTAGATTCTTTTTTCATCCGATGGACATGTGTTTCATTTATGTTATAAATCACTATCAGAATAGAATGATTTTTGTTTTCCATATATAACATTGCATTCGTTGCCCCCGTGATTGGGGGGATGACCATTTGCTAATCAGCTGTCATGGACTTTCCTAGTCTGTATATCACCAGTGGAAAGTGATACGTCACAGATGCAGGATTTATATTTTCATTGAATTAATACATTAATGATGTAAAACTCAAGATCTACGGGAAACTCGGTAAAGCTGTGTTGTTCCGCCAATACAATGCCTCTCTTCAAAAGTCTGTTATTGCAATGGCTGTCATTAACGATTGTGGCTTAATTACTGTATAATGATAACGTCTATCACATCAACACATGCCGCAGTTTTTATTTACAAAAACTCACCAAAACGTTTCATACAAATATCATCATCCTGTCAGCAGGTAATGACACTGTAATAAAGCCATCACCTCATTTAGAATGTCATAGTATACTACATATATAGTCTCACCAATATATAGACGATAATTTATGGTTCCCGTGGTGTATTTCACAAGTTTGGAAGAATATCTATATCTTCACAGTTTTGACTGATCAAACTCAAAATATTCTGTCATCTTACGTATTTATCACATCCCTATATTTCACTTGCATATCTATATTTACATCTTGTGTATGTTTTATTCTATAATCACCAAAGTTAAGTATTGCATAATATCAGTTACTGACTTTTATATTTCATATTTCAGAATATTTTATAGTCTTGATTTCGATGACAAATGGAATTGGGCAACAGGCCGAGCCTATGAAAGCCTCTCCGTGACTTCAATTACATTGTTTTGAGTGTAGAAATATTTTCAATAAAAAGCATTTCCAACATAAACGAAGAAATTGCAAGTATTCCATAATACTATCTCAGAAAGCCAACATACCTACCACGTCCCGATACACAATATCATCTTAACACGACATGGAGAAAGATTTGAAGTTACAACACCTGTCATCACAAACCTATTCTGTGTTCTGTTGAACACTCTGCCATAGATATATATGATAAACACTGAAACATAAAGTCTGTGAACTTACGAAATCTGACAAGTACGGTGCGAGCAACATTCAAAACTCGTTTCAGACACATCTGGAGTTTTTAAAACACGAATGAGCGTGACAGCTTACTGCATTGTATCATAAGGGCCCAGTTAAAGACAACCGTGACAAAGCAATACTCTGAATGACACATTTCAACCTACATATAGGATAAAGTACACATGTATGAGTTACTTGAGGTCGGTCGATTACGTTCATTCTGTAAAGAGTAGATTGGAATCAATACTTTTAATAGGACGGTCCTTTAATGGACTCTAGTTTAAAAAAAACCACTTGGTAGAAACAACACAGTTTATTATATCAACAACGCTTATTATAACAACGGAGCTTAATATATTAACAGAGCTTATTATAACAACGGAGCTTAATATAACAACAAAGCTATTAAAAACAAGAGAGCTTAATATCTCAACACAACTTATTATAACAACACTGCTGAATATATCAACACAGCTTAATATAACAACAGAGATTGATATAACAACAGAGCTTATTATATCAACACAGCTTAATATAACAACAGAGATTGATATAACAACAGAGCTTAATGCATTACTCCAAATTAGACGCATCAACACTCTACTTACTCTAGTAAGTATCTTATCAAAATGGAAAAATATATTTATGTTACTAACAAAACATTTTGACTTTCAGAGTAATAATATTATTGTTTAAACCGTGATGGTGTTTTCAAGACCAGTTACCTGTACCAAATTGAAGCGTTTTAATTGCAGCACTTACTAGAAGTTACAAACAACAACATATAATTTAGTTGCAATCATTTTAATTTTGCATACTCTTCCTTACAAATAAATGGTGAAGTCAAAAATAAGTGAAGAATTTGCTGGAGCTGCTGGCACTTGCTTGACTTGAATGTTCCAGTTTCATGACACTATGTCTATGCAACAGCAGTCCTGTTATGATACCTGAAGTTAGCATTTAGAAAAAAAATATATAAAAATATAAGTATCATTTTGAACACTTATGAACATTTCAATCAATACTTCATCACAAAACGGTTGAATGGTTGAATAAAATAGATATGCAATGTTCATTTCACAAGCTGTGTCATATCAGTAATGCATGTGCTAACAAATTTGTTGACAGAATTTATTTAGAAATATAGCTATCAAAATCATCAAATGTATAATAAGTCAGTTCCTATATGGTATCAATTCAGACGATTCAAATTTTACATGTGTACATAACAAAAAACAACACTTTACTGAAGTTCAAGTAAGTAAGGATTGAGAGTATCACTGTTATCGTAATACTACATTTATCAAACTACTTTCCTAATTAAAAAGGTTTCCAGATTATAGGGGTTGTTGAATCTTGACGTTCAAAATATAATGTTACTTCAAAGATGTATTTTCTGTATTATTATTTATTTTTTTCTTCGAAATTGTTTGTTCAGGATATGTACAATGAAATGGTCTAGTGAATGGTTTTCGACCATCGTAGGCTGAGGTTTCACTAATTTGGCTCCTCATAATCTAATACAACTTAACCAGTATCCACATTTTTCATTAATTGCCTTGACTATTTCAGCTGTCATTTTGTAAATAAATTGGCAACTAAAACGAATAAGTTGTAGATTAATTTTGGCAGAAGTTCAGAAAAAAAAACGATACAAGAACCAAACATCAAGGATGGTATCACCAGGAATCTGAATAAGACAGGAGCCATTTTGTTTAGGTTATATTGTACACCTCTAATCACCCTGCATTCATATGTCCCCACTCCCTTTATTATGTAAATGTAATAGCATCCCTACTATTTCTGATCGAGCCGGAAGGAACTGTTCCCTATAACTTTGTCCTTTCCATACAATAATGTGTATTTTGTGAATTCATCATTTGTTTATCCGAATTTGGAACAATATCTCTTACAATAGATAAATCATTTAAAATATATTGAGTACCTTACGACAAAAATGATAAAAAGAAGTTAGTTCAGAGGGGAAAAGTTACAAAACTTTTTTTTTATTGCTGACAAATATGCAGTGTCCTCAGACAACTGATATGTAATAAGTCATAATCAGGTAGAAAACTGCAGTAGATTTGACAGTGTAAACACATAGACGGAGAAAAATGCATGTACTTCGTCAGGGATGTATCACATACAGATGTATATAGCTACATGTAGTAACACCGGGCTTATCACAAAATAAGTCAGGTCACGTAAAACATGTGCTCGCTCCTCTAAATCTAAATTGATCACTTTGGACATACCAGAAAACAATAACTAGCCTTTTAAATTTAATACTCACCTATGCTATGATATGGTGGCAAGATGAACGCCCTGTTCATTTCTTTGCGGTGGACAGGTTTACCCCAATGACTCCATCATTTGCAAATATTGACAGGTTGAAATTTTCAGTCTGTCTTCAAATGGTGATAGAATTCCGCGAATGTGTGTAGTATAGGCTGACACGAGGTTGTTTGGATAGTATCGGATACATTTTATTTGTCAAATCAAATTATCTGCAGCGAATTATGTGAATGTGATTGAACATGCATACGATTTTGGATATTAGGTTTCCATATATTGAAATTCGAGTGAAATATCTCGTTCTTTATGAACATATATGTAGAATACAACCTGGACCCACCAATATACATTTACGTACACCGCACACACGACATCATCAATCCAAAATATTCTGGAAAGCAATGCCTTGTATATTCAACTAGAAAAATCGCAAGAAATATCTTTCAAGGCAAAATTTTCTAAGAACAACAGTTGTTCAACATTTTCTCTCTAAATTTGAGAGATATAATCAGTAGATCAATACCTCTACAAATAAGGGATATATGACTGTTTTCCCAACACCAACATCACAATGCGTAGAAATGCGTAGTTGGGAGTTAAGGGGTTAAACAATGAAAGTTGAGAGAAAAGCATTGTTAATTATCTGTGATTTTAAAACTAGCTTTTAAGTGTTAAGAATTAAATATCAAATGAAGTGAATTTGTTGTTAACCACAGAAGTACATTCATCGCTGTGTGCTCTTCGGAGAACTTGTCGTAAGCTGTAAGGAGTTGTTTCTTTTTATTATTATTTATAGCTTACGTGGGAAGAGAGCATAAGAAAGTATCTAATTCATATCTAGTCATAGTAATTTGTTCAGAAAGTCACATTTTTAAAATTCTCTCTCAAGTCAATGCATTTTTTAAACCATTTTATTTGTAATTTCAGCAGTATTTCATGTGTATCAGTTTAACAATAAATTATCCAAATACAGATCAAAGTTATTTGATAAGACATTATAATAAGGTGTACACGTGTAACATATTAATAAAGTTATCATTTTAGCCTGGGTCATTAACTTCCCGTTACTGAGCTTCTGTGTGTTGATCTTATTAACTTTTTTTCAAAGTTGGATGCTCGCATGGATTTGAGTTGTCCTCCTTTCATGAGACAGGACATGATACTTCACG